GGCCCTTGCGATGTAAGGGGCTGTGGGCCCCTGGTTCTCCAGCCGGCCGGCAGGAAGAAGGCGGGGCCCCGCAAGGCACATACCTCACTAAGCCCCGTGAGCCTGCGGCTGTAGGTGGGCCGTGTGAAGACGTAGACGGGGAGTGCATGGTTAGCGTGATGGGTGTGCGCCACGCGAAGGGCCTCCTGGACACGGAAACTGACAAAGTTGCGGCCGTGGACGGAGGAAGCCAGGGTCTCGTCCAGGTAGACGGAGGGGTAGAGGGCCGTGCTCTCGGCCCACAGCCAGACCAGCTGGTCGTTGCGGGCCACCTCCACGTCCGGGCAGCGGCCCGTGTAGCTCTCCCAGTTCTGCGTGTAATCGTGATTGTAGCAGTCGGGAAAGAGGTAGAAGCCCCAGAGGTGGTGAGGTCGCACCGCTTTGACGTAGCGTAGTGTCTCCAGCATGAACTGTCGCGCCGCGAACTCGAACTCGTACTGCGCCTGCTTGACGACGCAGTCCGCGGGCCAGTTGGGGTGACGCCCGGCCACCAGCTGGCGGGACGCCCGGCGGTACACGTCCTTGTCCTGCCAGTTGCGCACCCACACTGGCCGCCAGTCCTCCCAGTCGATGACGGCCAGTCCCGGAGGCTCCTGTGTCCGAATGTAGTGCTCCACATGCGGCTGCAGCATCTTCAGGTGTGCCCAGAGGCTGCCGTTCTGCGGCACGCCGCCGTGCACAGACTTCCCCGCTGCGTCGAAGCGCGGATACAGGCCCAGGCGGTCGTGGTAGAAGATGGTGATGTTCTGGTTCACAAAACCCTCGTTAGGGGACGCTTGTACGTCGAAGGCCTTGAGGTCCAATGGCACCTTGTGCCGTGGGCCACAATCCTGTGTGGGCACGTCCCATGCTACCACGAAGGGCCGGCCAGTGAAGATGGGTGGTGCTGTAGGCTTGAGCTCCATGGCCCATGCCACCGCCAGCACCAGGGCCAGTGTGCCGGTGGTGGGGCCGGGGCCCGCCCACATGCTGGGAGCTGCAGGGAGTGTCACCTGCCTGGCACCAGCTCAGGAACTGGAGGAAGGGTGGGGGAGAACAAGTTAGTTCAGAGAATCCTGTTGGTGCCCATTCACCATCCCAAGGCCCCTGCTGAGCAGGGCCTTGTGCCCTTGGCTGTTCAGACCACATGTCGCTGCAACAGGTTAGAAACCAGACCACTGAAGGGCAGGCCAGCACCCCTGGGACTAGCTGCCCTGAGTACAAGTCTCCTTCCTGGAGCAGGGAAGCCAACTGTCAGCTGGAATTTGATAGCTCTGCCGGCTCTGCGACCTGGATGAACCCAGCTGTCTGCATACCACGGGTACCAGGTTTCAGAGAACACTGAAGCCGTGAGGCCCACCCTGTACCCCGTGAGAAACCCTCGGGCAAGGCAGGGCATAGCCCGTCACAGACTAGAGTTGGCAGGGAAACAATGCCCGGCCGCAGACTAGGGCTGTCAGGACTCTGGTCTGGCGTGCGCGCGCTCAGCCTCGGTGGAGGCCCTGCGGGGACAAAGGGGCAGCGGACCTCCCACGGCGGCGCCGGCCCACAGACCCTCCCCTCCACCGCCACCGGGAACACGCGTGCTCCCGCCCGCTCCGGACCGGGAGAAACGCTGAGCCTGGCCTTTGTGTGGGACCCCGCCCCCGCCCCGCACGTGGGGCCTGAGCCCGGCCGAGTGGGGGTGGGGTTCCCGGCCCGCCTCTCTGGAAGCACCCCCGGGGCGTTCACAGCCCAGCCTGTCGGAGGGAGCCGCCGGGTTTGTGCCGCCCGCCCTCACCTCGCGCCGGGCGCCACCGGGACCCCCGCCAGGGCCACCGCCATCCCGGGTCTGGCCAGCTTAGCCCGCTCCGGCCGTTCGCCCAGGCACTGCCCCGGCTCGGCGCCTCTGCTGGCTCCGCCCTCAGGCTGCGGGCCCTTTAAGAATCCAGCGCGGAGGCGGGTCTGTGGCTGGACTTGCGACCCCGGCGGGAAGGTTCAGCCTTTTTTCGCTGCCGTGCCGCGTTTTGAGCTCGAGGACCCCCAGATCCTCGCAGAACAATATGATCACCCATTTGAGACCAAGAAGCCACCATGAACCCTGGTTTCTGTTGGCGTCCCAGCGGCGAACTCTAGTAAGCCAAAACTTTCCACCCCCACACGGTCGGCGGCCGGTGGTACAGTCCGCCTCGCTCGGCGGCGCCGCCAGCCTCTTAAAGGGACAGCATATAAGTGATGGAGGAGGGCGGGGGGTGGAACTAAAAGGAGGTGGCTTTCCCAGTCTAGGCCATGAGGCGGTGCTGTGGGACCCCTAGGCCTTGGCGGGGTGGCAGCGGATCAGGCCCTGCTTCCCCCAAAATCGACTTCAGCCCTGGGGCCCCTTTGTGTGGAAACAGGGACTTTGACCCGAACCGTAATGCCCCGCCTCTTACAAATCAGGGATCCCTTCCTCTTAGCGGTCTGAGGGGAAGCCCCGCCCCCTGCCAGTCAAGGGGAAGGGGCCCTGCACCGCCCCTTAACCCTCCTGGGACACAGCCAGAGGCAGCAGTTGTCCTGGCAACCCGTTCTGTGGGCTGCCGCGTGGCCCGGGGAAGCACGGCAGGGCCTGCGGTAGAGCGCCCCCCACTCCCGACCAGCCTCGGGGGCCATCCCTGCCCAATCTCGGGGAAGGGCTGGTCGGGGCCCCCGGGCTCCCTCTCAGCTCTAAGATGCGGCTCTTTGAGAGGTTCTCGCCCGACTTCGGAGAAAGCTGACAGGAGGGCCTTCCCGGATCTCCATCCGTATTCTAAGTCCTTTCTGAGAGGCTCCTGCCGAGGAGCAGGCTTGGATTTGGATCCAGAGGGCCGGGTGCTAGACCTCTGCTTTTCGTAGTTCTGCGGCCTCCTGGGGGACTCGGCTTTCTCAGAGGGGCCGCATCTATGCCGCCAGCCCCTTCCTTCCCCGTCTGGGTGCCTGTGGAGGGTGCAGGCGCAGACCAGCCGTGGGCGGTCTGTGCTCCACTCACCTGTGTGGGGAGTCCGTTGGCGGAATAGGTTGGCGGCCTCCCTTCTTCCTGGGGTGAGCCTCTCCGGCCAGACTGCGCCAGCTGCTACCCGCCGGGGACTTGATAAACCCCATTCCCTCCCATCCGCTCCAGCCTCCCCTCCTGGCCCTTTATCCTCACTTCCTGCTGCCCCTGCGAGGAAAGGGCCAGGCAGGGGGGGAGGAAGAGATTGCCTTGACCCTATTTCCCTCCGGCATGCCCTGCTGGCGGGCTGCCATCCCCTTAACAGGACCTGGCCCCACCAGCTGTGCCAGGTGACAAGCAGGCCATGGGACCACGCTCAGGTGCCAGATTCCCCCAAGTTCCCAGCTTGCTTAACACGGGGGACCGCTTCTCCCCCAGCTTCCCTTGGCTGGGGCCCAGCGGCAGGGCAGTGGAATGTCAGGGGAGGCCCTGGAGGTGGGGCTTTTTTGGGATAGCACTGCTTGGGGGGTTGTTCAGCTCACTATCCGTTACAGCAGGTGCCAAAGAAGGGAAGCAGCCCTAGGCAGAGGGCCGGGGGGACTTCCAGGGGCTGAGTCAACTTTTTCCACCGAGGGTGGAAGTATCCCAAGTGTGAGAGGACAGCGTATTGATGTGTGACTGTGTGGGTTCTGCAGGGCGCATTCCCGGGTGTATCCGAGTCTGCTGCTCCGCGTAGGGGGTGTGTTCCCGGGGCCAAGGGTGCTTAGGAGGCCAGCTCCCGTGACTGCAGCAGGGTTCCAGCAGCTCTTTCTAGAGTCAGCCGATCTGCCTACCCCTCACCCTGGCTCAGGGGTCTTGTCCCAACAGCAGGCTGGGAGAGGCGGTGCACACCCGAGTCTGGCCCTGAGGACCGAGGAGTCCAGGCCATGGCAGGGGAGAATGCAGTGTCCCTTCTGTTACTGTGCTGGTGTCACAAGGGACACATTGGAAGCGCCCAGGGTGGGGACTCCTGGGAAAACAAAGGCAGGCCGGGCGACTGCGGCAGGGCAGGGACACTTCCTCAGGCTGTCAGCAGGAAGGAAGTGAGCACAGCCCAGAGGCACGGTGTAGGGAAGCACTGCCCTGATCCCCATTGTTTCCAGCCTCAGGGTCAGCGCCACAGGCCCAGCACAGGGAGTTCCCCCTTCTGGGATGTGGCGGCGGCGGTGGGCGATAGGGCGCCATCTAGCGGAGGAGAGCCCTGGCTTGGGTGGGTGCAGTGGGGGATGACAGGGCCCTAGCCTGGCATCTGAGGTGGGGGAAGGTACTCTGTAGAACTGGAAACCCAGGTTTCCCAGGCCGGTCCTGCTCTGGACTTGGTAAGTTTAAGCCTCTAAAAGATGAGCAGGCACCCCCTCCCCCCAGACTCAAAAACCCATGTCCTTGAACTTGCCACCCCCTCAGGTGGGAGCTAGGCCTGGCAGAGAACCGGCCTCACAGGAGGCCGTGAGGACAGGCAGACGGTCTCAAGGCAGCAGGGTGCGGGTGAGAAGAGAGGTGGCAGAGAGCCCGCCGGGGGTTGGTGTGGTGAACAGAGCGTTGCTTTAACATAACTGAGTGGTGCGGTCCTTCCTGAGGCTGTGGGGGGAGAGGGCTGCAGGACCTGGAAGCAGGCCAGGGGTGCGCCAGCACCCATTGGGCGGCTGCTCCTGTCACGCTGGGCCTTTGAAGTCCAGGCCGGGTTCTCACGTGAAGTCAGCTGGCAATGCTGAGAGGACAGCTATTCCAGAACTAGCAGTCTCCCACCGTCCACCTTAGGGCAGGCAGGTGCTGCCAATCCTGAGAGGACAGGCCAGGTCTTCCGACTCCACAGGGAATACAGAGCGCCCAACAGCAGAGGGCCCCGCCCATCTTGAGGGAACCTGCAAGGAAGTCTGTGAGGACACAGCCACCTGCTGGCCACAGCTGGGATGGCCACAGGCAGGGCTCAGGTTTGCCTTGGGTCCTTGCTGGAGACAGGGGACCTCCCAGGTGGTAGATACCCGGTGTCCCCGCCCCTGAGGACGCCATTCTCATGTGCAGGATCTACAAATAACTTTATTGAACTTGAACAAATAACACAACAGTCTTCCAATGCTGGGCGCCACCCTCCCCAAGTCATTTCCCACACTCTGGAAGCACAGAGCTCACACAGTAAGGAATTAAAAAAAAAAGTCATCTTTCTAGAGAAACCAGACTCTGCCCCAACATCGTTCTGGACTAGACTATTTACAAACCTTCACATTTTAAGTATTTCTTTGCGCGTTTCCCCTCCTTTCTATCCAGTACTTAGTCTTGCTGATCGTGAAGAGGTCCAGGGCTTCGAGGGGGTGGTGGGTTACTCACAGCTCTTGTACCAGGGATCAGCCCTAGGGATTTGTCCCTTACCACAGAGTAGTAAACAGCCCCCTCCCACTTGGGGGTCGGGGGGCTGCTGCAAAGGCAGAGGGGATGAGAATAGGTGGGTTGGGCAACTCCCCACAGGCACAGGTGCAGCCCCTCCTCACCCTGGCCTGTGCGCTCTCAGCTGGGGGCGGGGGGAAGGATCAGTCTCCATTCCTATCAACAGCCTGCAAACTCTCCGTTCATCGAGGGTGGGAACAAGTGGCAGGTAGGCAGGAAGAATCGGGCTGGTGCTGCCCCCAGTCTCTGTCCAACACAGGAGGAATCGAGGTAGCAAACGGCTGAAATGCTCCGACTAGAGGGAAGGGAAGTGCGGGGAAGGAAGCTCCCACTTGTGTAGCCCCCACAGCCCGGGGGCTGGAGGAAGGCAGATCTTGCTTATAAAGTGCTGTAGCTTCTAACAGGGCTGGGCCCTGGGCAAGCTTGGAAGAAAGCAGGCCAGGCAAGGAACCAGGCACCAGGCTTTCCTGATCAGTGGACGCCCTGCCATGCTTCCTGCAGGAGTGGCTGGGGAGGGTGGGCTGCTAACTCCACAAGTAGCCTTTGCCAGCCACCACCCACCTGCTCCACATACAACCCGATTTCCCAGTCAACACTGCACAGCCCTGCTCACAGCTGAAGGTGCTGGGCCAACAGTTTATTCAGGGCTGTGGCCCCACCTGGGCTCCTCACTGGAAGCTGCACCTTGAGCCTGGGGTGTCTTGCTGGGGCAGGGGTACTTGCGTCTGCTACTCCCCAGGCTCACACCTCATAGAGGATCACGGGGAAGTCCACGTGGATGCGAGGGGGGTCCAGCTTCACGAGGCCCTGCCGAGGAAACAGGCTGGTGAGGGGCAGCTCCGGGCTCCGCTCCAGAGAGCGTTTCTGTTCCTCCCACCTCCTCCCCCAGGAGCCCCATCTGGGTCTACCTCCACACACCTGATGGAGCTCCATGGCCCTGCCCAGCCCCTCACCTGAGGAATCAGATTCTTATGTACCCGCCTCAGCTTGGCCCGCTTCTGTCCATTCTTGGTGACGATTGTCTCCTCATAGAACTCGTGAGCCAGGTCCCCATCCTCATCGTAGAACATGGAGCTGGAAGGAGAGTGGAGGGGGCCGGCGGTTTGGCCTGATGGTTAACCTGCTGCCTGCAGCGCCAGCATCCCGTACGGGTGCCAATTTGAGTCCTGGCTGCTGCACTTCTGATCCTACTCCCGGCTAATGTGCCTGGGAAAGCAGCAGGACATAGCCCGAGTGCTTGGGCCCCTGCACCCAGGTGGGAGACCGGAAAACACTCCTGGTTTCTGGCTTCAGACTGGCCCAGCTCCAGCCATTGTGGCCCTTGCCTTCACGCGTGACTTCTAGGTAGGTGAGGTGGTGGCCTGGGCGTGTTGGTGTCACTCCAGAAAAGACTACTGGCTCAGTGCCAAGGGCTGAGCCAGCAGATGCCTGGGCTAGGAAGGAGTAGAAACGGGGGAAGCCTGCTGCCTGTTCCACCGAGTGGCTGATGCTTCCCAACGGCCACTGGTGTGTCCGTATCAGGGAGAATGGCCGTCTCCAGGAGCCAACTGGGGCCAGGCCCATCTGGTGTCCCTGTTTGGGCCCCTAAGGGAAGCGGCAGGCCTAGGTCGGTGCTCTGTATCTGGAGAACGTAACCGGTGTCAATTTTTTCTTCCTCACCTTGACGCCCCAACACAAGTCCAGGCCTGCTTTCCCAGCCTCTAACTACCCTTAGTAGTCCGTACCCACCCCTGCGGAAGGTACGCGGTCTAAACAGAAGGTCATTCTCCCTTGGAAGAACTGGGGGAGGGCGAGGCTAGGGGCTCTGAGCTTGCACGCTGAACTGGAAGGGATGAAAGGGAGAGGCCCTGAGGTCTCACAGAGGCCTTACTTCAGCTTTCCCGTGTGGACAGACCACGCAGAGCCAAGGCTCAAGCCTACGCTCCCCCAGGAAGAGCGGTCAGACCATTAGATTCTACTGGCCCGGCTTTCCCCACCCCTGGTTGGACGGGGGCCCGCAATTTGGGAGTTGTCCTGGTTTGGGTGTAGGGTGTTGTAGCGGAGGGCGTTCCCGCGTCGCAGAACGCCCGTCCCCCCCGGCCTGTCCCACCCCGGGTGGAACCCACGGCCTTACCCGCGGCGCGTGAATACGAAGGGCGGCACGGTTCGGCCTCGAGGCCGCACCAAAGCTTGCTCTGCACCCGCCGCTGCCACCTCCGGGCCGCCGCCCCCCGCCGCCGAGGCGAAGGGCCACAGCCCCCGAGCTTTGGAGCCGGTGGCGCCCATGTCAGGGCCGCCGGCGCATGGCGGACCCCGCGGCCGCTCAGCTCTCACAGTGCACTGGGAGCCACCATGCCCTGCCCCAGCCTCCGCTCGCAGGTGCCACCGCCGGCGCCGCCTTCCGCAGGCTCGGCTGTCTCCACGGAAACCTCACTTCCGTTTCCGCCGGCCACGCACGCTCCCTCTTCTGATTGGCTGCTGCGCCCATCCGTCCGTGGACTAGGGCCGCTGTCGGCTGGCTGGGGCTGGGCATCCCGGCATGCACTGCGAGACGCAGGTCCCAGCAGGCCGTGCTGTCTGCAGCAGGGGCTACTCCCTCCCAGGAAAGAGGCGGTGCTATGTGGCTCTGAAGACCCCCAGCGCCGCGCCGCGCTACGCCCCGCGCTTAGATAGGAGAACCCGCTCAGACACGGAATCCCTTCCAGCTGCTCTAGGCGGGGCTGCAGGGTGCCTGGTTTTTGCCACCCCCACTGGCACAAAGGAAGAAACCGTCCAACACTGCTACACACTGAGGTCTAAAGAACTTGTGTTACTTCCCCAACCGCCAGCGTTCATTCTTTCGGAAAGCACTGTGCACCAGTGAGCTGGTCCACAGTAGCGGATCCGTACCTACTCGGATGCAGGGTTAGGCCAGTCTTCCTGCGCTTAGCATGCGTCCAGAAGCGATTTCCCTCAGCTCCAGGTGGAGCTGGTTTCAGCCCTCCTCCAACCGGGGGACCAAGTGAGGGCTGAGCACACACCCATGCTCACGAACCTTCATGGACTGGTCCCGTGTGACTTCTCAGAAGCTGCCCCGAGACAGTATATCCGCCGTGGCAGCTGCGGGCCCACAGTAAGACACCAAAATCGAGAGGATCCGCAAATCTTTATTCAGCCAATTCTCTCAGGCCGTGATGACGACTGTCCCCCACCCCATTCCCCACAGGAGGCATTCGGCTGAGGCCACCAAACATGACATACATTCACACACTCCATCGGAAATACCTGAAGGGGAGACCCCGGCTTTGACCTGCACACAGGTACGGTCCTGGCCCCGTGCCCACATTCACGCAGACCCTGCTCCAGGGCCAGCCTCCCGCGGAGGCACCGAGGCACTGTCACAGCACTGGGCGCCAGCACTCCCTGACCTCAGGTGTGGGAGGAGTCGGAAGGCCCCCCAGAAGGAACCGTGGACTCTTCCTGGATACCTGCTTTTTCTGAGCCCCCATAGATGAAGGCCCTCACCCCTGCAAACATGACCTTGTGTGGTCTGCAAGGTCCCCAAAAGTCTCATCTTTGAGACTCAAATTAAGGCAACTTCTGTCTGTTCCGCCCCTGCTACAAGCCTAGGGCAGCCCTGGCTCCCTCCAACCCAGTACAGGACGGGCTGAGGGCTGCAAAGCCAGGCCCCGCTAAACCCGCTGCTGGACACGGGGCCAGCCCCTCGGCTGTCGGCTCGGCTCCTTCTCCCCAGGGCAGGGCCTCCCCCCGCACTCACGCCTCAGGCCCCAGGGGCCCGGTCACACTCACACAGCACACGCTGGGCGCTGCCTACTCTCCTGCCATCCAGGGGTCACGGTCACCCCACGGGGCAGGCGTGCAGGGCCTCCTGGATCTTCTGCCGGCAGCGGGAGTACTTCTGCAGGATCCGGCGGAGGTGCTCCTCCTCCTCGCGCTGCAGGATGCGCAGGAAGTTGTGCAGCTCGGGCATGCTGAAGGCGTCCCACTGCAGAGGGCAGAGCACAGGCTCCAGCAGCTGCAGCCGCCCCAGGGAGGACCCGGACCCCGGGCCGCACCTGCTGGCATCAGGTGTTCCCCCTGGAGTCTCGTGCCCAAACAGCCTGCACGAGAAGCCCACCAGCTGTCAAACAGAAGCCAGACCTGACCAAACCGGCACCCAAGCAGGCTTTTCTCCATGGGCCCCAAACCTGGGAGCCATGAAGACTCCAGGCAAGCAGTCGTAACGCCTGAGGGATGGGTGGGGGGTGGGGGCTTCCTAGCTCCATCGGGTTTTCCACAGCACCAGGACAGCTCTTCCTGGCTCCTTGGGCTTGCCCTAGACCTTGGCCTGACAGGCCTGGAAGCCCTTCCTTTCGTTGCCCTGGGGAGGCTGTACAGGGCTTGTCTCTGTTCATTAAAAGCAGGAAACTGAGCAGGACTGGGTACTCACGTTCACCTCCCCGGAGTCATTTTCCTTCAGGATGAAGCTCAAGTCCTTCTCATTCGGTCCTGCCAGGAGCCGAAGCTGCAGGGGCTGTTCGTCATCCGCCAGCTTCCGGAAGTAGACTGCAGCCCAGGCCGGGGGAAAGAGGTGTGAGATCAGAGGTCCTGCTGCCTCCACTCCCGCAGGCACAGGGGCAGGCACAGGGGCAGGCACAGCCTAGAGGTCTTTAAAAAGCTCATGAAAAGACTGCTTCATTGGGACTGGTGCTGGGGCATCCCACATGGGTGCCGGTTCAAGTCCAGCTGCTCCACTTCCAATCCAGCTCTCTGCTGTGGCCTGGGAAAGCAGAAGAGAAACTCCCGGCTTCGGTTCGGCACAGATCTGGCCAACTGGGGAGTGAACCAGTGGATGAAGACTCTCTCTGCCTCTCCTCCTCTTTGTGTAACTTTCCAATAAATCTTTAAATCAAATCAAATAAAAAAAGTGGTTTTTTTTTGTTTGTTTGTTTTTTTTTTTTTTACAACAAAGTCTTCCAGCCGCTGGCTTACTCCCCAGATGGCCGCAACAGCCGGAGCTATGCCAAACCGAAGCCATGAGCTGCTTCCAGGTCTCCCACACGGATGCAGGGGCCTGAGGACTTGGGCCACCTTCTGTTGCTTTCCCAGGCCATAGCAGAGAGCTGGATCAGAAGCGGAGCAGGCCAGGGCGTTAACCCACTGCGCCAGCCCTGAGTTACCTTTTGAAAATACACAATGTGGGGGCCGGTGCTGTGGCGTAGCAGGTAAAGCTGCTGCCTGCAGTGCTGGCATCCCATATGGGCACCAGTTCAAGTCCCAGCTGCTCCCTTCCACTCCAGCTCTCTGCTGTGGCCTGGGAAAGCAGTGGAAGATGGCCCAAGTCCTTGGGCCCCGGCACCCATGTGGGAGACCTGGAAGAAGTTCCTGGCTTCAGATTGGCCACAACAGCTGGCCAACTGGGGTGTGAACTCTTCACTCTGCCTCTCAAATAATCAATTTTAAAAAAAAAAATACATAGAGTGGTGCCTCAAGAAGCCCTCTTTTAGGGCCGGCGCCACAGCTCACTAGGCTAATCCTCCGCCTGCGGCGCCGGCACACCGGGTTCTAGTCCCGGTCAGGGTGCCGGATTCTGTCCCAGTTGCCCCTCTTCCAGGCCTGCTCTCTGCTCTGGCCAGGGAGTGCAATGGAGGATGACCCAAGTGCTTGGGCCCTGCACCCGCATGGGAGACCAGGAGAAGCACCTGGCTCCTGTCATCGGATCAGTGTGGTGCGCCAGCCGCAGCGGCCATTGGAGGGTGAACCAACAGCAAAGGAAGACCTTTCTATCATCCACTCTGTAAAAAAAAAAAAAAAAAAGCCCTCTTTTAAGCCTAGAGGGATTCGTTTTCCACTGTTTCTAATCACTAATGCCTCGATAAATTCGCTTTTTCTAAACTATACCTGGACTTCAAATCTCTTGTGTACCAACATAAGCCAAGCTTCTAATTCCCTTTTCCACAGACCTCCTGAAGCATCCTCACGGGGTGTGTGTCGGGGGGAAACACACCTTGGCCATGACGCTCGGCTCGCTCAAAGAGGGCGAACTTGCGGGGGTCGTCCACCACCAGGAACTTGCGGAGCAGGGCCTCGATGACCTCCCGGGCCCGGGTGTGAGACAGCACGTGTAGGTGCTTGACGGCGTCCTTGGGCAGGTAGAAGGAGGTGCGGCGCTTCACGGCTGTGCCCCGTGCTGGGCCCCGGCGAGCATCCTGCAAGGACGGGGGCTTCTTGCTGGAGGGCACGGACACGGGCCGGGCCAGTTTCAGCTGGACCTTGATGAAGCCGGTGTAGGAGCCATCCTTGTTCTAGAGAGAAACAAACTCAACCATGACCTAGCTGCCGGGAGACACGGAACACCCTAGGGCTAGGCTGGGTGTTGCCAAAGTGGCTGTCTGAGCCTACCACGGCTGCCCCTCCGCAGACCCCCGCCAGAGCACTGCACTCACCAGGCTCATGAAGAGGTTGCTGTTGATCTGGCCGTTGTACTCCTTGATCTTCTGCTCAACCTCAGCCTGAGAAAGATCAGGCTTCTCCCACTCCACGTGCTCGTCCTAAACAAACAGGCCAGGGGCAGGTGTTTGGTCTAGGGGCTAACATGCCAACTGCCCCCACCCGAGTGCCTGGATGCAAATCCAGGCTCTGTTCCCGATTTCAGATTCTTGCTAATGCAGACTCTGGGAGGCCGCAAGTGATGGCTCAAATACTTGGCTCCCTGACACCCATGTGGGAGACCTGCTTTGAGTTCTTGTCTCCTGACTTCAGCCTGGTCCATAGAGTGGGGAGTGAAATCAACAGATGAGGGATCTCTGTTTCTTAAATAAAAGTCAAACGGGCTGGTGCTGCGGCGTAGTGGGTAAAGCTGCCACCTGCAGTGCCGGCATCCCATATGGGTGCCAGTTCGAGTCTCGGCTGCCCCACTTCCAATCCAGCTCTCTGCTATGGCCTGGGAAGGCGGTGAAGATGGCCCAGGTCCTTGGGCCCCTGTACCCATGTGGGGAGACCCATAAGAGGCTCCCGGCTCCGGACTGGCGCGGCTCCAGCTACTGTGGCCAGCTGGGGAATGAACCAGCGGACGGAAGAGCTCGCTCTCTGTGCCTCTCCTTCTCTGACTTTCAAATAAATCACTCCTACAAAAAAAAAAAAAAAAGTCAAAAAGATGAGCACCATGGACACAGGACCCTTGAATACATGGCTTCTCTGAAAAATGCTCTTGGAAATTGACTTCCTGATGTACACAGATGCCCAGAATCAGCCATCCTGGCTGGCGCAGTGGCAAAGTAGGTTAAGCCTCCACCTGCAGCACCAGCATCCATATGGGTGCAGGTTTGAGTCCTGGCTGCTCCACTTTAAATCCTGAACTTGTCACTGTTTTTTTTTGACAGGCAGAGTGGACAGTTGGTTCACCCTCCAGTGGCTGCCGCAGCCGGCTCACCACGCTGATCCGAAGGCAGGAGCCAGGTGCTTCTCCTGGTTTCCCATGGGGTGCAGGGCCCAAGCACTTGGGCCGTCCTCCACTGCACTCCCTGGCCACGGCAGAGAGCAGGCCTGGAAGAGGGGCAACCGGGACAGAATCCGGCACCCTGACCGGGACTAGAACCCGGTGTGCCGGCACTGCCATGGCGCCGGCCACTCGTCACTGTTAAAAAAAAAAAAACTTTTAAAGATTTTATTTCATAGGCAGAGTTAGAGAGGTAGAGACAGACAGAAAGGTCTTCCATCCAACCAGTTCACTCCCCAGATAGCCGAAATGGCCAGAGCTGTGCCGCTCCAAAGCCAGGAACCAGGAGCTTCTTGCAGGTCTGCCACACAGTGCAGGGGCCCAAGCACTTGGGCCATCTTCTACTGCTTTCCCAGGCCGCAGCACAGAGCTGGATCGGAAGGGGAGCAGCTGGGATTTAAACCAGCGCCCATATGGGATGCGGGCACTGCGGGCTGGGGTTTTAACCCGCTGTGCTACAGTGGTCACTGCTCCTGATTCTGGACACTGTGAGTGAAGCCAGCAAAGGCGGAATCATGCGGCTGCTCTCCAGCACGCAACAGAGCTCCAGGGAAACCACAGAATCAGGGGCAGCTGAGGCCAGAGGCCAAGACGACGGAGGATTCCGAGGAGGGACGCCTGCCTCAACTGCATGGCCTACCCCAGGACTCTGGCTGGCTTGGCGTCAGGATGTTTTTGGAGATGGCAGCCCTTTTTTCCACTTTGCCCCAGCCAAGGGCCAGGACCCACTGTGACACAGGATGTGAGGGAACTGGTACAGTTCAGCGGCTCCACCACCAGCTGGCAGGACAGTTAGCGTCATCTCGCCATCAACACCGCTGCGGGGAGCTGGGGCCAGAGCTCGCATCTCACAGTGCTGCACGAAGGCTGCGGCAGGCCAGGCTCCGCGCTGCCCGATACACAGGCCAGTGTCTGAAGAGAGCCTGCCCCACAAATGCCAAGCAGGTGGGTTCTGTGCCTCCCCTGTTGTCTGAAGCTTAGCCCAAAGAACGCAGCCGCACTACGCACTGCCCTCCTCCCCTGCAGGGACGGGACTCCCATCAGAAGGGTGGAGCACCAACTCTCTCCTACCCAACTCCCTCGCTCCGCTGCTTCAGCTTTCCTTCCTGTTGACGTCACACTCGTCCCAGTCGGAACGGGAGTGTCACACACAGCTGAGATCACCACAGACCAATGCCGTGTCCCATGGGAACTGCCATCAGGTCTCTTCTAGAATGACTGTGTGCTCACTTAAGCACAGGGACAGCCAGGGTTTGACCTTTTGGAAAACTGGAGATCTGTAAGCTACTTTAACTAGCAGAGAAAAACTCGGGCCAGAGCTGTGCTGTGGTGGGTGAGGCTGCTGCCTGCAGTGCCAGCAAACCATATGGGCGCTGGTTTGTGTCCTGGCTTCTCCACTTCCGGTCCAGCTCCTGGCTAATGTGCCTGGGAAAGCAGCAGATGGCCCAGGTCCTTGGGCCCCTGCACTCCTGTGGGAGACCCAGAAGAAGCTCCTGGCTTTGGATCAGCCCAGCTCCGGCCGTTGCAGCCATCTGGGGAGTGAACCAGCAGACAGAAGACTTCTCTCTGCCTCTTCTATGTTAAACTCTTTCAAATAAATAAATAAAAAAACTGTCAAAAGGCTGAACCCCGCCACCTCTTGACTCTGCCTTTCAAGTAAATAAAATATTAAAACAAAAATAGAAACACTCTTCTAAAGCTGCTGGCCGGAAGAGGGTTCCAGCGGCGTTCCCGAGGGGTGAGAGCAGGGCCTGGGACTTGCCTTCCACACCACGGTGACGTGCACTGACCTATGGACTTCTTTTACACAGGAGCTGCGGCTCATTCTCCTTTTCCAGTCGGTAGTGTCTTGTGGTTCTCCCACCTTTCCACAATGGAAAATGGTTCAGGTCCCGGCTGCTCCACTTTCCATCCAGCTCCCTGCTAACTGCCCAGAAAAGCAGAGCAAGACGGCCCAAGTCCTTGTGCCCTGCACTCAACCTGGAAGCCCCCAGTGGAATTTCGGGCTCCTGTCTTCGGCCTGCCCCAGGCCCCCCATTGCGGCCACAGGGGGAGTGAACCAGCAGATGGAAGTTCACTCTCTCCTCCTCTTGCTGCAATTTTGCCTTTTTTTTTTTGCCATTTACTGTATGATTTATGTTTTCATTTTTTAAAAGACTTATTTATTTCAAAGTCAGAGTTACACAGAGAGAGGAGAAGGAGAGAGAGAGGGAGGGAGGGAGGGGTCTTCATCCGCTGGTTCACTCCCCAGTTGGCTGCAACGGCCGGATCTGCGCCGATCTGAAGCCAGGAGCCTGGAGCTTCCTCATGGTCCTACCATGCAGGTACAGGGGCCCAAGGACTTGGGCCATCTTCTACTGCTTTCCCAGGCCATAGCAGAGAGCTGGATAGGAAGTGGAGTAGCCAGGACTCAAACTGGCACCAATATGGGATGCTGACAACACAGGTGGCCACAGCACCAGCCCCTGCAATTCTGCCTGTTGAATAAATCAATTTTTTTCCTAAAACTAAATTTTAAGAATTATTTTATTCATTTGAAATGTACAGTTAGAGATAGAGACAGAAGGAAAGACAGAGGGAGGGCTTCCATCTGCTGGTTACCTCCCCAAATCCTGGGCTGGACAAGGCCAAAGGCAGGGGCCAGCAGCTTCCTCCAGGTCTCCTACATGGGTGCAAGGACTTGGGCCATTCCCTACTGCTTTCCTAGGTGCATTAGCAGGGAGCTGCATTGGAAGTGGAGCAGCTGGGACTCGAACTGGCACCCATATGGGATGCTGTTGCTGCAGGTGGCAGCTTAACCCATTATGCCACAACTTGGGCCCCAAATAAACCTTTATGGTCTGGGAAGGCAGTAGAAGATGGCCCAAGTCCTTGGGCTCCTGCACTCGCGTGGGAGACCCGGAAGAAGCTCCTGGCTTTGGATCGGCGCAGTTCCGGCCATTGCAGCCAATTGGGGAGTGAATTATCGGATGGAAGACCTCTGTCTTGCTCTCTCTGCCTCTCCTCTCTCTGTGTTAACTCTTTCAAATAAATAAATAAATAAACTTTTAAACAAAGAAACAAAAAGAAACGTAATAAAACCTTGCACCTAAGCTCTGGGTTGAGATTCAGGGTACGGAGAGCATCACTTATTTGCTAAGAAACTTTGAAAAACTTCACCTAAAGCATCACTCCCAATGCCACTTTCTTGACTCCAATAAGCGATTTCCACCCCTTTGCTCCAAGGGACACTGAGCGCCACTGCCCCCACGGCTCTTTCCTGGTGCCCTGGCCCGGCTGCTCCCTGGAGGAATTCTGGAGATCTGAACCTGGTGGTTCCACCCGTGACACCCAGCACTGCGGTCTCCGATAATGAGGTCTCCCACGAGCCTACCAAAGATTCGGCTGCCCCGGTACCCCGCGCCTCACAGCTTTAATCACTCTTTTCACCTCTCTTGGGGCATTTTTCCAACCTGAACAGCCTCCCCTTCCCACCTCTTGGGAGAAACGCGCTCCTAAAAGCTTCTACAAGGCTTCCTTCACACCCACTCCACGTCCCTCCCTCCAGGTTCAGCCGGGGGAGGGGGAGACTAGGAGTCCTCCGCATTCTGGCAGCTGGTGACGGGCCAGGGCCGGGGGGCCTCAGCTAGCTCCATCCAGAAGAGCCGCCGGGAGAGGCCGGACTTCCCTTCGGCGCCTCCACCCCACCCCCCACCCCCCTTCTCAATTCCCGGCGAGGACTCCTCCCCTCCCACTTCCTCCTCCAGTTCCCCCGGGGAGGGAACGGGCGCGCGCAAACGCGGAATCCAGGTGCCTGTCTACACTGCACAGTCGGCTTGAGTCAGAGGTGGGGAATGCCGCTCTCCGCTCTGCCCCAAGCCACACAGCTGCTCCTCCCGGTTCTACCGGTCAGCGACGCAGCGAGCGCGCCTCGCACCCGGCACCGAGGCGCCGGAACCCACTTCTGACCCTAAGCCGAGAGCCCGACACACGGTGCCGCGCCACGCCGACGGGAAGCCGGGGTTGCCCACCCGCTCCCGCGGCGGCGGGTCGCCGGGGAGGGCGGCGTCCCAGGGGGTCAGCACCCGCGGCCCCCACCTGGTCCCGGCGCGGCCTGCGCGCCAGCGAGGTGCGCGCCGTGAAGTACTGCTCGAGCTCCGAGTCCGAGTCCTCTTGGCTGCAGTAGCCACTGCTTGTCGTGCTGCTCCAGGTCATCTCGAACGACGGGGTCTCCGCCTCGCCCATGGCCGCGCCAGCCCGGTGCCCCCGTCCCGCGCGTCCGTCCCCTCCAACCTCCGCCCGCGGCGCGTGCGTGCGTGTACGCGTGGGTCGGTGTGCGCTTGCGCCGTCCCCCGCGCCAGCTGCAACCGTTAAGACTGAAACGTAGACAGCTGGGCCCCAGCTCTTGTCTCATTGGGGGAGCAACGTGGAGGGGCGGCAACCGCTCGGGCGTCTCCGCCTAGAATGACCTCACCGCCCAGGCAGCTCCACTCAGCCCGGCCTCGGAGGCCCCACCTCCCACGGGAGCGCGTCCGCGTGTGTGCGCATGTGCACCAACGTCGCCTCGGGCCCGGAAGCGGGTGTGGGATGGTGTGCGGAGTGCGCGTGCGCTGAGCCTGGCGCGCCTCGGCGGCCGTGGGATGACTGCCCGCGGGGCCGCGCCGAGACCGGACCCCCGGGCCCCCCTCCAGGCCCACGCGCAGTTAGCCACTCTCTGGTGCCGGGCACTCGGCCATTAGAACGCTCGCGCTGGCCCTGGGGCTTCCTTGCCCGTCTGTGCTTCCCGCCATCCCGCCCCTTGCTCCCCTCGACCCCGCGCTCACCACGTTGGTGTCCCGCTCCAGCGCGGGTTCCCAGCCCAGGTCCCGGGGCCCGCAGCAGTCCAGGCACACGAGCGCGCGGCAGCGGTAGTGGCATGTGAACTTGCAGTCTGCGGGAGAGGGCCGGCGGTGAGGCTCCCGCCGTGGCTCCGGTACTGCAGAGGAGCCCGGGGCTGCGGGCCGTGGCCCGCCAGGCTCTGTGTACCCGGCCTCGCTACAGCCTCTAGGGTGGATCCCGTGCGTCTGAAAAGCTCCGGGCGGTTAGGGATGCAGGCCTGCTCAACGGCTGGGTCTGTAACGTCTAGCGCGGAGTCCCTCCTCCCACCACGCTCGCACTTCGAAGGAAAAACCTTTAACCCACGTCCCGTCTAGTACCAGCTGTCTCCTCGGACCGCAACACCCGTCCACACTAGCGTCTGGCCTTCCCCTCCCTTCTCTTACCCCTCCGGCCAGTCTTCCACTTCCCTGCAGCTCCCCTGCCGGTCTACGGTCGCCTGCCCCAGATCCAAGGTTCAGTCAGCACCAACCTCCCCCTGTGAGCCAGGACCTTCACAGACATCTCAGACACACACGGCCAATGTTTAACTCACTTGCCTCCTGGGTCTCCTACCTTTGCCAGGGTTCTTCAGTAAAAATAGCCACTGTTCCCCCAGCTGTTTCAGGCAAAACCCCGAATTCACCTATGGTCCCTCCCTTCTCTCTCCACACACAAACTATCCTGTTTCTCATCACGGTTGTCACTTGATTTCGCCTCCAGAGCAATGAAATATCCTCTCCCTTGTCCCCCACCCCCACCCAGAGCCTGCACTGAATTCCTGACAGGCACCTGTGCCCGGTGCGAGGCTCTCCACCTGCACACAGGCCTGAGCCCTGCCCCCACCCCCCAAGTTCCTAAATAGGCCTCAGCAGTGATTGTCAATCCAGGCTGCACATTGAATAACCTGGAGGCTTTTTAAAAGAAATTACTGATGCCTGGGCCGCTTCCAGCAGCTGAAGCAGGATCCAGCACAGGGGGTTGCAAAGCTGTAGAAGCTCCCTAGGCCATTTTAACTGGCGCACTGCCGGTGAGAAAGCAACCCCTACGTGAGGCCTGCGCAGGTGTAACGGGTTCCATGTTCACCTGGCTCACGGCCTGAAACAGGTGTTTGCTACAGACTGACTCAGGTCCCCCTGCTTGCGGCGGGGAGGGGGCTGCCCAAGTTCCCAACATTCTCCATCCCCTGTCCATTGCCTGGCACAGTTTCCTTTCACACCAGGGTTCTGGAGGGGGACCCGGCAAGTGAATCCCTGGGAAGAGACAGTCTGGGAGTGCGGGTTAGAGGACAGTAGGCACAGAGCCTTTCTCAAGAAGGGCCAGGGGCCTTAAAAGACAAGAAGCTTCCAGTCAGCATCCGTTACTCATGGACAGAGGTGGCTGCTCCCCTGTGCCCCAGCCGCGCGCGGGTGGACTGCCAAAAGGGGTAAACCAGCTCCTCTCCCCACCCCGCACTCTCTTTGGTGATGAGCAAAGGTAACGGACCCGGTCCGCGGGACCGTCCCCGCCAACCACCTCCACCGAGCCTGGACTCGCAAGCAGCTGCCCCTCGGGTACCCATTCTGCTCTCGCTGGTGTGCGGGGCCGCTACTCACGCGCGCACTGCAGGCCCTTGCGCACGACGCCCCAGATGAAGTCGCCGCAGAGGTCGCACCACGTGTGCGTGGCTGGGCCCGCGGGCTGGAAGCGGTGGCCGCGGCCGGGGACCAGCTGCCTAGCGGGGTTGCGCGCGGTGCCAGGCGCGATGCGCAGCGCATTGGCACGCTCCAGCCGGGTGCGGCCCGGGCCGGCCCGGCCGGCGGGTGCCAGCTCCCGCAGCTCAATGAGTTCAGGTTCCGCCGACATGGCCCAGTTGGGCCGGGGCTTCGGCCGGCTCTGGGCGCTAGCGATCTCGAGGCGGGCGGGGCTACAGGGCGGGCCGGGACTTCGGCGCCGCCCCTAGGATCCAGGCTGGGCGGCGGGAAAAAGTCGAGCAGAGCGGCGCAAGCGGCGCAATGGAAACCTGGGCTCGGGGACCGTACTGGCCCGCAGGCGGGGCGGGTCGGACGCTCTCACAGAGCTCCTGCCCTCTCTCTCTCTCTCTCCTCCCCTCCTTCACACCCGCTCAGGACGACAACGACGACCGCGACCGCAAAGCGTAACACCAAGACTGGCGTGTGCCTGGGGGCCAGCTTTATTGTGCTACAGGGAGAGGGTCCCCACATCCGGCTCCCTTCCAGTGTGCTGAGGCAGCGCCCTCCGCCTACCCGCGGGTGGGGCAGGAAGTGGGGGTGGGGGTGGGTCAGCAGATCTCTGCTGTGCGCACCAGCGGCAGGAGCCAGATGAGATCGTGAGGCTTGGGGTGGGTTGCCTTGGCCCGGGTGGTTGGCCGTTGTGCAGGCAGGCACAGCCCTCACTTGGCTCTGTCGCCCTGCCCAGCCAGGACACAAACCTTCCGGTGCTTCTCCCAGTGCTTGACTTGGCACTCCCTGTTGGCAGGGGGGCTGGTGAGGCTGGCAGTGTTTGTGGGGGACACAGGGGTGGGGTTCAGGGGTCCGCGGTCCCAGCAGACCTCACCTGCAGCAGTACCACTCATTCTGGCATCTCGAGCAGCGCTTCGAGGCCTCTGCGCTGCAGTAGGCACAGCGAGGTCGCTCCGGAGCCACCGCTTCGAGCACATCCAACCTGTACGTCTCAGCCCACCTGCCGGAGGGTCACGGGGCCTGGCTGGGCCTGGCAGGCGGGGGCCGGGGGCACCCCCGCTCACACCCATGCCTCTCGGCTCCCGTCGGCGCCCATCCCCGCTCAGCAGGCCTGACCTTGCTGCCTGCAGCCGCAGGTCGTGCTCCGAGGGGCTGAACACGTGTTGCAGCTGGTGCTTGGCGATGGCCTGCCACATGCCTTTGTTCTGCTGCTTCAGCCGCTCCCAGATTTCCGGGATCTAGGAAAGCGAAGCGGAGAGTAGCCGAGGAGGAGCTGGCAAAGTGGACCGTGGTCCCGAGCAGCGGGCTTCCCACGGCGGCCTACCTGTTCTAACACCAGGTCCTTCTTAGGGGTCTGGGGCTCGACCAGGGCCAAGTGGGCCAGGAAGTTCTTCAGGTCTGCCAGGTTGGGCAGCTGGTCCAGGAGGGTGTCTGTGAGAAAGGGCCGAAGCTGCAAGGGAATCCGGGGGAGGCCAGGGTGAAGCTGGTGCCGGCCAGGGGACCGGGGCCAGGGACCAGGGAAGGCCTGGGCTGGGCTGAGGGTACCTGCGGGGCCTGTGTCGCATTGGCTGTGTCACCTGAAGCTCAGGTCTGGAAGGAGGACTTGGGTGGGGGTGGGGAGGGGATGGGATGGGGAGGGGTGGCGCTGGGCTGGAGCAGCTGGTGCAGGGGAGCCCCCTACCTTGAGAAGCTGTCCCTTGGCAAAACTCGTGAGGCAGTAGCGGGCCCGGGCCTCAGAGCTCAGCAGCAGGTTGTACAGGGCGATCCACACCTGCCCATCCAGCTTGCTCAGCTTTTGCTGCTCCGAAGGGGCCACCGTATGCCAACGGCCGCCCTCAAATCGCTGCAGCTTGCCTGGGGAGAGGGGCGGGCAAAGCAGTCTCTGGGAGCGAGTCCGCTGTGCGGGCGGGGGAACTGACCGCTGCCTGGGCATGGTGGGAAAGCCTGGGCCCCCGTGCAAGGTGAGTCCTCAGTAGTGGACACATGGGCCCTGCCTGCTGCAGAGCCCAGCTCTAGGCCCACTTGGGATGAGGCATCCTGGTATCCTCTGTGAGCTAGGAGCAACGTTTGTGTGCAAACTGCCCACCTGCATCGGTCCTGAAGGGTGGCCTGGGAGCTGGGGCGGGTGGGGGGGGGCATCTTACCGCCTTCCCGCCGGCTCCAAGGACTGTGCTCCAGCAGCTCCACCAGGAGGCAGGGCAGGTTGTGCGTGCTGAGCATGCGGCTCAAGGTGCTCAGGGAAAGGCTAGGGGCCGGGGAGGGAGGAGGGAGGTGAGCGGAGGCTACAGGCGCCGCCAGCCACCTAGGCCCCCGAAGGCTGCCCACCTGTCCACGCAGTCTGTGATGTAGCGCAGCACCGACAGGGCTTTCAGTGTGATCTCAAACTCCATCAGCTCTGCCTGCTTCTGCAGCTCCTGCAGGGCCACACGGTGCTCCAGCTGTGTCGGCCCCACCCCGACCCCCTCCTGCACAGGCCTCGGGGAACCTGGACCTGTGCCTTGCCCGCTTCAGGGATTCTCAGCCCACCTGCATGGGGGTGCTGTCCTGGGACCCCTCCTCCTCCCGGAGACCACTCTGGCCACCCCGGGCCACCAGAAGAGCCAGTTTGCGGTGGCAGTAGTCCACCAGGTCCAAGACGGTGTCTTCTGCCGACTCACACACCTCCTGGGGGGCAGGCAGAGGGGCAACTTTCGGTCTCTGATGCCCTCCCCGCACAGACACAACGCCCCTCGGGCCAGGCCCCGGCCTGCACCTCACCCTGTGGAAGAACACTGTCTCAAGGAGGTTGATGATGGAGGCCTCGTGGTGTACCTGCCAGAGAGGACAAGGCCACCGGGGCTGCTGGGGAGGGGGGGGCGGGGACACCAGCTGTCCTCCCCAGTCCAGGGCCCTCCGACGGGGTGGGAAGAGGCGTGAGGTGGGGCCCAGCGCACCACCATGTATATGGGGAAGGTGTTCTGGGGCTTGAAGTCCTCCAGCTTGCACAGCACGGGCAACACTTTCTGCTTCCACATCTCCACGGTGATCAGCTCCTCCACCAGCGTCGGGATCTTCGGAGGGTGAGGGAAAGAACAAGGGTGGGCGGGCTGGCCTTAGCCTGGCAAGCTTCCCCGGTCTGCCTTGGCCCAGCTCAGCTCTTGCACTCCCCGGAGTCCCAGAGACTCCCAGGCTGCCAAAGGACACATCCCAGCATGTACCCTGTTTCCAGCTGCCGCCAGCACCTCAGTGGGGACACCCTCTGCCCCTGCAGCCGTAGCACCCCTCCCACACGCAGCCTCCATCCACTCTGTCCTCTGTCCCCTAGGGCCCTTCCCTCTCACTGTGCCCACTGCTACTGCTGGCAGAGGATCCCTTCTGCCAAGTGGCATTTCAGGTCATGTGCTGGGGCCACCCCTGGTCCACGCTCCAGCCGGGCATCGGCATGGGCTCCAACTCTCCCCTCTCGTGTTGGGGAGGCTGCCCCCGCCAATGCCAAAGTCCCACTCGCACTCCAGTGGGGAGCTCGTCAGGCCTTGCTGTCAATCCAGGGACGCCTTCAGCCCTGAGGGTGCGGTGGGAGAGGAGCGACGGGCAGCGGCCCGTCATACCTTCCCGTGGGTGACCAGCAGCTCCTGGATGGGCTCGCTCTGGCTCGCGGTGGCATCCAGGATGGCCTGCATGTTGAGCTTCTCCAGGCTCTCGTGCTGCCGCGTCCACCTGCCCCAGACGGGACGTGTGCGCATTTGGGTGCACAGGTGTGCCGTTACGTGAGGGCGGGGCTGCATCCTCCTGAATGCAGCCCGATTCTCAGGAGCGAGGGGGGCTCCGCAGCGACAAGCTTTAGCCTCCAAGATCTCTGCCTCCCGCCCGAGCCCCTGCGCACTGGGCGACCCCTTCCCCGAACGTCAAACCCAAGCTCTCCCCCACTCAAGGCCTGCCGCGGTGACTCGGTCTGACCCAGCCGCCTCACCCTTCAGTGCCCATCTCTCGCAGCGGGAAGCTGCGCAGACCCCGCACCAGCACATCAGCCTCCCCGGGCAGCAGCAGCTCCAGGTCGCCCATGTCGGGGCCAGGGTCCCCAGGCAGAGGCTGGGGAGCGGGGGGCGCTGACACACGTCAGGACGACGGACTGCAGCGGGGCCGAAGTCTGGCACAGGACGGTTGTGGGGCGGTTGCGGCGCGTGGGTCCTGGTCGCCATGTAAACGGGTGAGCCCGCGCCTGCGCAGTGCGGCCGCGGCTCCGCCCCGCCCCTGCTGTCGGCTTCGCTAGCTAGCGGAGCCCGCTGCCCTGGACAACCGCGCCTGGGCCGGACTCCGGCCGCGGCCAATACCTGGGGCCGGCACTGGGCTGGGGAATCCGGACTCCGCCAGTTCTGGCAGCCGTGCCATCCTGACCACCGGATGTCTCATCGTGGTTTCCCGCAGCCTGCTCTCCAGGTGCAGCCCAGGGCCGGCAGCGTTCTCTCCGGACCTGCTCCTGTCCCGGCCCCTCCGCCACAGCCGGGAGCCTGGAAGGTGCGCGTCACACACACGCCCTCCCTCGCACGGCGCCGCTCTGGGCTCGTCTCGGACCCTCAGAATCCAGGCCCAAGGCAGCTTCCTAGGGTCCCCCTTTCTCTCTCCTCACTCGGGACTTCGATTCTGCCGTCTCCCCTTTGCCTCCTAACCGTCTCCCCTTTGCCTCCTAACAGCCCCGAGGCTGGCCCGTGGGCTCCTTATACTCCCCAGAGTGGCTTTTGCCTTAAGTTCTGTTGTTAAGATTTACTTTATTAAAAAAAAGGATTTACTTAACTAACTTAGAGACAGAGAGATCTTCTTTTTTTTTTTTTTTTTTTTTTTTTTTGACAGAGTGGATGATAGTGAGAGAGAGAGAGAAAGGTCTTACTTTTGCCGTTGATTCACCCTCAAATGGCCGCCACAGCTAGTGCGCTGCGGCCGGCGCACCGCGCTGATCCGATGGCAGGAGCCAGGTGCTTCTCCTGGTCTCCCATGGGGTACAGGGCCCAAGCACTTGGGCCATCCTCCACTGCCTTCCCGGGCCACAGCAGAGAGCTGGCCTGGAAGAAGGACAACTGGGACAGAATCTGGCGCCCCGACGGGGACTAGAACCCGGTGTGCCGGCGCCGCAAGGTGGAGGATTAGCCTAGTAAGCCGCTGCGCTGGCCGAGATCTCTTTGCTGGTTCACTCCCCAAATGACTGCAACATCCAGAAACAGGCCAGGATGAAGCCAAGAACCCAGGTCTCCCACGTGGGTGGGTGGCAGGGGCCCAAGCACTTGGGCCATCATTTACTGCCTTCCCAGGTGCATTAGCAGGGAGTTGGATCCAAAGTAGACTAGCCGAGGCCAGCGCTGTGGTACAGTAGGCTCAGCCTCCAACTCTGCACCAGCATCCCATAAGGGCACAGGTTCATGTCCAGGCTGCTCCACTTCCGATCCAGCTCTCTGCTGTGGCCTGGGAAAGCAGTAGTAGACAGCCCAAGTCCCTGGGCCCCTGCACCCACGTGGGAGACCCGGAAGAAGCTCCCGGCGGCTCCTGGCTTCAGATTGGCCCAGCTCTGGCTGTTGCAGCCATTTGGGGAGTGAACCAGCGGATGGAAGACCTCTCCCTCTCCCTTCTGTCTGTAACTCTGCCTCTCAACAGACAGTTAAAAAAAAAAAGGTGCAACAGCCGGCACTGGAACTGGCGCTCTGCTAAGGGATGCGGGCTCTCAGAGCAGCGGCTTAGCCAGCAGTGCCACAGTGCCCACCCTGCCGCAAACTTTTGCCCTTGTTTCCTCACTCGGTCCTTCGTTCGCGTTTCCGTTTGTCACCTCAGCCAGGCCTTTCTTGCCCAACTAGTCCAGAGAAGTCCCTGCTCCCACCTCATCTCATTCTTCACATCTCGGATGGTTTCTGGCCCTTTCTTTCCGTTTATAATGAGCAGGCACCTTTACTTGGCCAGCGTCGGTCCTGCCCACCAGAGGGCGCTCCAGGGCACCAACACCGTGGCGGCCGCATTCGCTGCTGTCTGGCTGGCTCAGGGGTAGGGTGAAGTGGATGACTTTATTGACAGGACTTTATTGACAGGACTGCAGGTCAATCAGATGGTAACGGACTGACCTACTGGTCTAGCCCCAGGCACCAGGCAGGGCTCAGCACCACGCAGCCACCACAGCCTCACTTCCAGCAGATGATGATGTTGGGGTCATTTTCCAGCCGCTCATCCAGCTCATGGTAACTCATGCCTGGGCGGGGTGGTGGAGGTGAGGCTGGGGCCTTGGCTCGGCCGCCCGGCCCTGACCCCACCCTGCCTGCCTCTACCTGTCTTGCAGCAGATCTCGTCGTAGCTATGGCAACCCGTGTAAAGCCGTGCCGGGTGGCTTCGCTCATCGTGAGACACTCGCACAGGGTACTTCTGTAGTCGCCGGATGAGGTTCTTCATGAGCCCAAACTGGATCAGCTTCCTGGGGTGAGAGCCGGGGTGCGGGTGATGCCCGGGCCAGGCTGGCCCCTTCCTTCCTGCAGTCCTCCCTGCAGGCTGCTGCAGTAGCCACACTGGCCTCCAAGCCCGTCACCTCCAGGAAGCCTGCCTGGACTGGCAGGGCCGTGTGATTCCGCTCACTGGGAGGCCTCTGCTTCCTCTCTGACCCAGGGCTCCTAAGAGACACCGGGGGTCTCCCTGTCCTCCACAACCCCCTCACACCCCGGGGAGTCCCCCTCTGACCGTTCATCGACATGCTGCAGCTGCTGGGGGTGGCGGCCGATGAGGTCTCGCACAGTTGTGCCAGGACTCAGGCTGCAGTACAGCTGGAACACATCCCGCAGGCTGGCCCTCTTGTGCCCTGTGGGTGCCAGGGGTCAGCTTGCCAGGAGCCCTGCTCTCCCAAGAGCTCCCTCCCCCAAGCCTGCAGTACCTTGCTTGGTCACATAGGACAGACATGCCTCCTGCAGCGACTTGTCATCTACCAGATCCTGGACCTTGGGCGTCGGGCAGTACACATTGGAGTACTAGCGGGGTAGCAGAAAGCAGGGGGGCTTGAGTGAGGGGCCTGGGAGGCTGCCAGCCTGGCTCTGGCACAGCCATAGGACCCACACCTCAGGGGACCGTACCGCAGACACCCACCTGCAGGATGGACACCAGTGTCACAACGCCATAGTACCTGCAAGAGGCGGTCGTGCTCAGCCTCCGAGCCCGCACTCAGGGCCCCTGGGCTGCTCCCCGCGGGTGGGCCCACAGCCAGCACTACTCACAGCAGGTTCTGGATGGCGATGCGCACCAGGTTGAGCTCCACGTCCGCCTCAGCCGAGATCTTCTGGACGTGCCGGAAGCCGTCTATGTAGGGCAGAATCTGGGCAGAGTAGGCAGTGTCAGAGCGGGTGGGAGAGAGGCCAGGACTGTGGCAAGTGCAGGATGACAGGCAGGGCGGGCTGGCGCACCTGTTGTGTGGTGAGGTCCCACTGCGAGTTACAGAAGTCCTCCTTGTCTTTGGTAAAGACAGGCACGTCGTACTCCTGGGCCACAGGGGGGTCCGGCCGCTGCTCAATCACCTTCAAGTGGATGGTGTTGGACTCATCTGCAGGGGACCCCCCCCCCAGACCCTCAGTCCTGTCTCCAGGAGACCCGCAATTACTTCCCGAGCCTCCCAGAATCCCTTGAGGCAGACAGGCAGCTGCGAGTACGGTCAACCTCACGGCTCCCCCTTCGTTTTAAAAACCAATTTTGTATGAAAGGCGGAGAGAGAGGGAGGCAGGCAGACAGACAGAAATTATCCATCTACCGATCCACCCCCCAAATGCCCCCGATTTGGGAAGTGAAACAAATCCGGGAGTTCAGAGCTCATTGTGGTCTCTCGCATGGGCGGCAGGGACCCAAGGACTTGAGCCATCATCTGCTGCCGCCCAGCGCATGAGCAGGAAGCTGGGTCGGAAGTGGAGGAGCCAGGACTTGAAACCCGCACTCAAATCTGACATGTTGGGGTCGCAGCGGTCTTAACTACTGCACCAAATGCCCAGCCCACTCTTCCCCTTTTATGGAACAAGAAACAGGTCCAGAGAGGGAAGGGATGTGCTCAAGGGACAGAGCGGGACACTCTCCTGTGCCCGCCCCCTGTCCCCAGTCCCACCATGTACTAGACCCTGAACACAATCACTCTTGCACACAGCTGTTCCCTGGCCACCACGCTACTCATGAGCCTTGACCTCCCCAGCGACTGGTCGCACCCTCCCCCGCCGCTCTCCCGTCCCTGCAGAGGCTGGGCCATACCAATGGGCAGAGTGCACCGGCCAGAGGCATTGAGCTCCTCCAGCAGGATGGTCATGATGGGAACCAGCTTCTGCTTGCTCTCCTCCGTGGACACGAAGCTGCTCTCCAACTGGACAGAGCAGGAACAGCATGGTGGGTACCCGCCCGGAACCCCGGCTGGCCGCCTGCCCTGTCTGGGTCCTCAGTCGGGTCTGGGGGCTTTGGAGACATAGGATCGTCCCCCCCGACTCTGCCTGCCCAAGCACCCGAGCCCATCTCGTGGCAGACCTCGAGCGTGGTCAGGTAGCCGGCCAGCTTCTTCACGATGGGCTCCAGGGCACAGGTCGTGGCCTGGGCATCGCACACAAAGCCCAGGTTGAAGAGGAGGGCATTGCGGCTGTACTTCTTGTGCTCGATGCACACGGGGCAACCAATGAGCTTCTTCTCCATGGCTGTGCTGGATGGGTGCAGCAGGATCAGGCCGGCCCTGAAGCCCGTCCCAACCTCCTGGGACCCTCGCCTCCACCCCCACCGCCACCCAGCTGGGGCCTCACACAGTGATGAGCTTGTTCTGCAGCTCTGGCTTGGTGATGATGTACACTTGGACCGTGTCAAACAGCTCTCGGGAGATGAAGTCCTCGGGGACCTGGGGGCGGGAAGATGTCCTCAGTGCACACGGAATGGGTGCAGTGCCCCGGGCTGACCGCCCGCCCCACAGTCCCAAGCCCTCTTCTCTAGCGGGGACCTCTCTGCAGCCACTCGGATCTCCTCCTCTGTGTTTCCAAACACCGCCTATGTTATCGTCCGCTTCCTGGCTTTTGCATCCGCCATGCCCTCCTGGCTGGAACACTCCCTCCTCTCTCACCACCCCCTTCCTAGACATCATTTGGGGGGGGTACTGCTGGGCACCTCCCCCTCTCGTGGGTTCTGAACTTTCTCTAGGACCCCAAAGCGTGATTTCTTGCAAACACTGTTGATGTGACATAGTATGTCTCCCCTGCACACCGGGGAGCCGGGTCTTGTTCTGAGTATCCTCCCGGTTCACGATTGTCGAAAATGAAGGAGTGGCATGCCTGCGCGCTGCACGGGCACCCAGCACCTTCCTGCAGCCGGCTGAACTCCTGAGAGCGTCCTCTATCCCCTCCAGTCCCGCGAGCCCCGGCGTCACCTGGTAAGTAATCTTGGGTCCCAGCGTGGGGTGGAACTCGCTGAAGAATATGCATTCGATGCGACAGCTGCTGCCCATGGTGCTAGCGGGGCCTGAGTCCGCGGTCCCTGTCCCTTGCGCGCGGAGGCGCCCCCACTACCGGGAACACCTGTCAGACACAGCAAGGAGGCCCTGGACCACCAGGTCGCGCCGGTTGCGCGCGCACACACACACCCCAGGAGAAGCCGTTTGCTCAACAGCGCCTGCGCAGCGCGACTCAGAGGCGTGGCCGGAGTGTGTGTGTGTGTCGGGGGGGGGGTCGTTTCAGGAAGCCCCGATGGGTAGACGTCGCACCCGGAAGTGAAGCGGCTCCGCGACGGAGCGGCGGTGCGCACAGCAGGACCCAGAGCATCTAGGTTTCTTTGGAGGAAACTACCTCGTCGGGTCGGCGCTGCGGGTGAGGCAGGCAAATGGCTGGTGTGGAGGGGCAGCATGCTGGCGGTACGTGGGGAGGCCCCGCGCGGAGGGATTCACGCTGTAAATGCAGCCGCAGCTGGGAACTACAACTTCCGTGGTGCTCCACGCCCGCTTAGCCTCCCCTCCCGCCCGCGTTGGCGTGGTGCACGCTGGGATTTGTAGTCTTAGAGGGCCTTGCTCCTCCTTACCTGGAAGGTGGGCCAGCCGCCTTTCAGATCCAGGTAGACGCAGACAGGCTGCCGGCCCTGGACTGGCGTGTTGTGACTATTCCTGGTGCCGGCCTTGGTACTGTACTGTTGCTGTCTGCCGTCACTTCTTGGAAGAGGGTGGCATTCCTCCCGTGCAAACCTGTCTCCTTTAAGGAGTGGCCAGTGGCACCGAGAGCCTTGCCCACGCTGCTATGCTTTCAGGCTACAGCCACAGGCCCGGCTGATCATGGCCCTTTCTGTGGAGACTGAGTCGCACATCTACCACGCTCTCCGCACTGCCTCTGGGGCTGCCGCCCACCTCGTGGCCCTGGGCTTCACCATCTTCGTGGCTGTGCTTGCCAGGCCCGGCTCCAGTAAGTAGAATTGCGAGTCGACTTTCGGGAAGGTAGGGTTGCTTCTGCTGAGAAGTCGGGACTGTAGGGAGCCTTGGGCCTGGCTGTCACGAAAGGCTTGGCTGGCTGCGGGATACTCTGTCCTGGAGAAAGGACGGGGGTGGAGCAGATGGGTGCTGGGCTTCTCCCTGACCGGGGCCCCACATGGCTGCCTCTTGGGGAGGTGGGGGGCTGCCAGAGCTTCTGCTCCGGGAGGGGGGCTCGGTGTGGGCTGCAGCCCCGCCTCAGTGATAGGTGCTGACATCCCTCAGCCTGTTGGGGTGGGCATGGCTGGTGCCGTGCCGCAGCGCCACGAGGCTTCCTCTTCTTGTTCCAGGCCTGTTTTCCTGGCACCCTGTGCTTATGTCTCTGGCCGTAAGTAGTGGGCCTGGGTGGCTCTTGGGGGTGGGAGCATGGGCATCCTTGGGGACACTGCTGTTGCCTGCTCTAACTCCTCCGTGGTAGACATCCCAGGCTGCAGCCAGTGTTTGCGACCCAGATGAACGCAGGGTTTGTCTGAGCACACATGGCGGCGTCACTGGCTTCAGGCAGGAAGCTGAGACGCTGCACTCGGGTGCACCTCTGCCCCCGTTTACTTTACTTTATGGTGCCAGTTCTAACCGTCCCTGCAGCAGCGCAGCCACACGCCGGGTCCTGCCGAGACACTGTATCCGGCCCCACGCAGGGAAGACACACCTTGTGAATCATTTATGACCGCTCTATCTCAGAGCTGTTTGCCGCAGCGGCAGAAGCCATTGCAGCGCGGCACCCGGGCAGAGAATGAGGAAGGGCAGTGGGCCCAGGCGCGCTCGGGCTGGGGGGTTCCCTGCAGGCGCCCGCGCTGTGGGACGGCGCCTCACTGACGCCTCCTGCCTGTCTCCACAGTTCTCCTTCCTGATGACCGAGGCGCTGCTGGTGTTCTCTCCGGAGAGTTCGCTGCTGCGCGCCTTCTCGCGGAAGGCCCGAGCGCGCTGCCACTGGGTGCTGCAGCTGCTGGCCCTGCTGTGCGCGCTGCTGGGCCTGGGCCTGGTCATCCTCCACAAAGAGCAGCTCGGCAAAGCGCACCTGGCCACGCGCCATGGGCAGGCGGGGCTGCTGGCTGTGCTGTGGGCGGGGCTGCAGTGCTCGGGGGGCGTGGCGCTGCTCTACCCGAAGCTGCTGCCCCGATGGCCCCTGGCGAAGCTCAAGCTGTACCACGCCACTTCTGGGCTGGTGGGCTACCTGCTGGGCAGTGCCAGCCTGCTGCTGGGCATGTGCTCACTGTGGTTCACGGCCACCGTCACGGGGGGGGCCTGGTACCTGGCTGTGCTGTGTCCCATCCTCACCAGCTTGGTCATCATGAACCAGGTGAGCAACGCCTACCTGTATCGCAAGAGGATCCAGCCGTGAGCTCTTCCAGCCTAGGCCAAGCCTGGATTTGCCCCTCAGTGCAGGGGCGAGGGCTGGGGCCCTCTTGGACGCGCTCAGCTGACTGCGTCAGTGGGACGTTACTGAAGTATTGGGAACCAGAGACCCACGTGTGACGTTTTTGCTACTCGTGCTAAGTGCCTCCCTGTCCCGTCTCAGCCAGCCTGGAGAAGCACACGGGTCCCGTGTCTGGATGAAGCTGGGCCTCCCCTGCACGGTGGCTCACATTTGTGCTGGCACGTCCAGAAATGACAGGCGAGAAAATAATAAAATGCCTGAAAAAGACTCATGGGAAGAGCAGCCCAGCCTTGGTGGTGCTTCTCTCACACCTTCAGCGTGAGCAGAGGGGAGCTGGGAGGCAGGGCCTCCCTGACCTCGGCCGCCGAGTCTCCCATGCCGCCCAGGCCGTGGCCGTGAGTGCCGTGCCCCGTCTGTCTCCGGCTGCCCCTGCACCAGGGTCTGCAGACTCGGACAAGCTGGGGCTGTCGCCATAGGTGTCAAGCACGAGTGCTGTGCACTGGGGGTGAACCATGGGGAACAGCAAATCCTCACCATGGAGGGGTCTCTGTCGTCGGGTCCCCTGGGTGCGGGTGGAGGGAGAGGAAAAGGAGTGACAGCCTGGAGAAGGCTGCCTACCAGCAGGTGTGTGGCGGCAGGGGGAAGGGAGGAGTGGTGGGCGTGCTCGCGCTCTGGGGTTGCCAGGGAGACACAGGTGGCCCGACGGAGCCCAGGAGTCAGACCTCAAAGAACTGCTTTATTGATACTGCGAGGCTGGGCCTGGCTGCCCACTCCAGTGGTCCTGTAGAAAATACCTGGGGCGTGGCTGGCTGGCTCCGAAGCAGTCAGCCACGGCAGAGGGCCACGAGGAGCCCTGACGCGAACATCGTCTTTCTGGGGGTGTGCAGGCACACGCAGCCCCTCGCCGGCTCCTGCACAACCTGTTTGGCAAATCCTCACCCGGACTCAGAACTCTCAGCGGCCAGTGTGAGACGTGAGGGGCAGCCGGGAGCTGTGGCACCGGTGTCCCTGCAGCCGCCCGCCTGCCTGGGCTGCTGATGCCTGGGGCCCCGCGCCTGGCACAGGGTCTGCAGTGGGACCAGGCAGGACTCCTGGGTAGTGTTGGTGAGAACCAGCCGAGGGCCGTGGAAACCCACGCGGAACCCCAGCAGGCCTTCTTCCCTCTCAGAGCAGTCGGTGCCACACTCCAGGCGCTCCGGTTACAGCTGCGGGGGAGCGGCCTCAAAGGTGATCAGACCGGATTCTGGGGCAGCCCCCTTCCCTGGGGGCCCAGAGGCTTTGTCTGAGGGCAGGGGGCTGTCCAGCTTGGCCCCCGCCTCCTCGTCATCGTCATCCATGCTGGGCCAGACGGACTGGTCCTCCACTCTCTTCAGCCGCTCGTTGAGGGCCTTCAGGGCCAGTTGCCTGGGGCCGGAGAAGAGAAGACAGATCACTCTGGGTCTGCCTGCCTCCTGCGATGCGCCCTTCCCAGCAGGCCGACTCCCCCCTCCCCCCCCACGCGGGGCCTGGGCCCCCCTCCAGAACGAGGACCCAGGGCTGCAGCGGCTTCCCTCTGCTGCTGGGCACTCCACACTGCTCCCAGGGCAGACGCGGAGAAGGGCAGGTCCCTGCAGATGCGGGTTCCTGCCTGGGCTCTCGCATCACTTGCAAGGAGAGGGTTAATCTTCCTCCTCTTCCTGGTTAGAGCCTCCTGGCTGGGGTCTGGGGGGGACGGCTGAAGTCAGCACCTCCCTTTGGCTCTCAGCCTAGGAAGCAGCACAGACGTCATCCTTCCCAGAATCCCCAAGACCACCAAGACCTGTGTTAGAGCAGAGCTCGGTGCAGTCCACATGGGCAGGGCCCAGGCCAGGCCCACTGTGGGGGGAGGCGGGAAGGCCCCCCAGGCAGTAATCCCCCGCCCTGGACTGCTGCCCACGCAGGGACAGCCTGTGCAGCCTTCCAGGCTCCAGCGGAGAACCAAAGCTCCCAGCAGGCCAGGCCTGGCACAGGCAGGGCGCCCTCCCTGTGCTACCTAGGCTCCATCCCAGGTGCCCGTGCCGGGCTGAGGCCTGCCGGCAGTCGCTTCCTCACAGGGTGGAAGAGGACGGAACCCTGCTTCCCCCTACTGGCAGCGCTCTGGTGGGAGTAACCCCCACCCCACGTCAGCCGACCAAAAGGCTGGGCTCAGAGCCCACCTTGACCCTGCCCCCCCGCCTCCTGTCTGCTTTCTGGTGTCCAGCGATCCTGGTAACCCAAGGTCTCTCCCTGGAGGAGGGCCGCCTGGCCCGGCCCCCCTTTAGAGCTCTGAGGGCAGCTCCCCTCCCAGCAGGCCCAGTGTCCTGGGCCCATCCCCACTGGAGAAGCTGAGCCGGACGGCTGTCTAGAGGCCTTGTCGCCCACAGCGACCCACGCTGCACGGCCCAGAGCTGGGCCCGGCGTGCCAGGTGTATTTCCAGCGCCCACCGGCTGGGCTCACAGTACTCTGGCCCGTGCCTGGCTGGAAGCGCACGGCGCCAGGTGAGAGAGGGCAGGGCCAACTCTTCAGCTCTGCTCACAGAGCTTCCTGCCAGACCCCACCTGACAGGGGGAGACGGGGAGCCCCTGACATTGCACCGGCACAAGGCCTGCCCTGGCTGCACCACTCAAGCAATTGCCTCCCAGTGACGCGGCGCTGATGACGCCCTGGGGAGAGCTGAATCAGAAAGCCAGCGGGTCACCCGGCGGGACTTGGTTTGCACCTGAGGAAAAGGGGGTTTCAGCCCTGGTGCGGGCAGCGGGCTCCCGAGGGGGTCAGGTGGCCTGTCCCCGGGCTGAGCGGCACAGCCTGCCGAGGGAGAGGGGGGGAAAGTTGGCGATACCCCAGGCTGGCGAAGCAGAGTCCGGGTCAGGGGCCAGGGAGAGGCTGCAGGTCAGCACCCGGGGACTGGGCTGGCCCAGGCCAGCTCTTAGGGACCCGAGGCCTCCTTCCCTGACCCTCCCTCTCAGGGTGCAGGCCCGGGAGGCTGGCTGTGGCTCCCAGCGCGCCCACGTGGAGGACTCCGAGTCTCCCTGCCTTAGACTCGCACAGCACCTGCCGGAGCCCAGCCACCCACATGCTGATGTCCTCAACCCCAAAGACCGGCTCTCTCTCCGATCGGCTGCCCCGACACCGGCCTCGGCCCGGCACTCAGCTGGCAGGTGACTCGCGCAGCGCCCTCCTAGCCTGGCAAGGTGGGGGGAAGCTGTCACGGTACCTTCTCCGCTCGGCGTCCTGCGGGTCTGTGCCCGGGAGGCTGATGGTGATGGAGGACGGGGCGCCCACGTCGTAGCGCTTTACCGTCTTCTGGCAGACCCTGACTTTCACCAGGAGGCCGTGCACCACGTCCGCCAGCAGCCCCACCACGGGCTGCAGGATCTCGGGGAAGAAGGTGGCAAACGCGAAGTGGTCGGCCATGTCCCCTCGGCCCCGACTATGACGCTGGTAGAAACGCAGGTACACCCAGCTGGAGAGCAGGCCGAAGCCGTAGGAAGCCAGGGCCGGGCTCTGGAGCAGCGTGGCCAGCCGCAGCAGCAGCAGCAGCGCCAGCAGCAGCATGGGCACCACACTGACACGCACCTGGGGCACTCGCAGGACCACACAGTCCCCCATGGTTTGCTTGAGTGCCACCAGGACACCACCCAGGAAGCCCAGCGCGCCGTGGATGCGGATGGTGAACAGGTAGAACAAGTTGAAGGAAGCCATGTAGGTGAGGAGGTAGGCGAAGGCCCCCAGCAGCCCCACAGACACGTTCACCACTAAGAAGAAGATGAGCAGCTCCAAGGCACCCCAGAGGGGCTCCAGCAAGCGCCCGGCCACCACCACTGTGGCCAGGCTGATGGCCACGTCCCACACGTGCTGCTCCATCAGCCCGTGGGTGGCCAGGGTCCAAATCCAGAAGTTGGGCGGAAAGAGGTAGCCCGGGGTGACCGCCAGGCAGCGCGTGTCCACGGCGAAGGAGAGCAGGTAGAGGAAGAGCACCGCGGCGCACAGCGCCTTCACCACCACGCTGGCGCTGGCCAGGACGGCCCCCAGGTGCTGGCGAGCGCCAGGCAGGGCGCGCTGCATCTTCCCGGCGGGCGGCGGCCTGCAGGAACGGGGCTGGGGGCCTCCCCGGGGCTCGCCCTAGCCCGGCCCCGACGGGAGGCCCGGGTCCGGCCTAGTCACTGGTCTGTGTCCCTGGTGAAGGACCTGCTTCCGGTCGGAGAGGGCTGTGGTGCCCAGGGGCCGAACCGGGCCTTGTCGCCGGGCCGGAGCCTAGGCCCCTCGCCCAGGACCTGCGGGAAGGCCCCGGGCGGCTTCGGCGCGCCTGCCTGCCTGCCTGCCCTGTAGGCCGCGCGCCAGGCCAGCCGGGCTAGCGTTGATCTCAGGACTGCGCCTTCTCCATCCACTCCGGAGTCCTTTAGTCCGCGCAGGGCTGACGCCTTGCTCTGGGCCCGAGTCAAGCCGGGTCAGCTCCGGCTCGGCCTCGGTCTTGGCTTCGACCGTACCTCCTCCTTCTCAGGGGCCAACAAACAGGGGTGCCGCGCCTGCGCGCCCCCGGCGGCGGCGGGATGCCCTCCGCGCCTGCCTTCCGGCTCCTCGGCATGCTGGGATACTGAGTCCTTGGCCGCCGCCGGGGACGAGCGGAACGGGGTTCCTGGTGGAACTACAAGTCCCAGGAGGCTGTACGCGCGCACCATCCCCGTCGGTGATGAGAGCGTATGCTGGGAGTTGTAGTTCTGAAGACCATTTCCGCTGGTTATTGGAAAGTGGCAGGGGTAGGGTGGGGTGGGTGATGGAGTATTGCGAACCTCGGATAGCGGTGAGGCAGGTTCGGAGGCAGCACCGCCTCAGGCCACACACTTGCTGAATTGTCCGGGAAAAGTAGCTCCGTTTGTGTATGCACACCTGTCCTTGTGAGCAGGTGTGTGAACCAATGTGTGGGGACTATTGGAACCTCCGCGGTCTGGTCGATGGGCTTGGACCCAGGCTGGAATCCTTGCGCTGCTATTTGGCGGCTGTGTGACAGTGCCCGAGTTCCAGACCTTTTTGAAACTCGAGATCATGGGCTGTAAAATGCAGATGGTGGCAGAACCTTTCTACCCTAAGGATAAAAGGGAACAGGAGTGTAAAATGCCAGTCTACCTGGCTGCTTAGCGTGTGTGTGGCTCACGCTGCCCTGGACACAAGGAAGGTGGACCCTGAAGTGAACCCAGGACTCCCGCTCCCGAAGAGGTGAGGCTGGGCTGCCCTCGATGACTCTGCTCCCCACCAGAGGCTCCCCTACAAGCCTGGGCCCCCTACTCAAGTCACAGGGGCTCCTGACAGTTTGTATCCTATGGTAGATATACGTCTCAGTTTTTAAAAATGTGTAATTAGAACATAACAGTACTTTTGGGCCCAGCGTTGATATTCAGTGGGTTAAGCAGCTGTCTCTGACGCTGCCGGCATCTTATATGGGCGCCAGTTCGAGTCCAGGCTGCTCCACTTCCAGTCAGCTCCCTACTAATATGCCCGGGAAAGCAGTGGAGGATGGCCCACGTGCTTGGGCCCCTGAACCCACATGGGAGACAGGGAAGCAGCTCCTGGCTCCTGGCTTTGGTCTGGCACAGCTCCGGCCGTTGTGGCCATTTGGGGAGTGAACCAGCAGATGGAAGACCGACCTCTGTCTCTCCCTCTCTCTGTAACTCTATAAATAAAAAAAAAATTTTAAAGTACTTTATCGTATAAAGTGTAAATCCCTTCTTTTCAGCCACTGGGCTCAGTGCACAGAGCCGCCTGCATCGCACAGGCTGCTGGTGGCTGCCACGGCCAGCTAGGATGGCCAGACTTAGAAAACCAAACTATAGGGCGCTCAAATATCAACAATACACTTTTAATATAAGCACGTCCCCTGATTTTTTAGAGTATGTGCCATGTGATATTTAAAACACACTTCCATGGTAAGAGTTGGTATCTGAAATTCAAAATTCACGGTGTGTTCTGTATTGTATCTGGCAACCCTGCCCCAGGAGCTGAGGGGCTGTCGGAGGGTGTTGGGGTTCTGCGGCCTCTGCTGATCTTTTTCCCGTTAGCAAAGCATTTCTTCTCCATTTGCTCTTCTGTGATACCCAATCCGAAGGCTGTGGCGAGGACCCAGCCACTGCCCCGAGCAGGAGTGAGCCGACTCCCCCTGCCGGCCGGGCATGTGCTGCACAAGGGCAGGGAGCTTTGGCGCCCCGTGGGGAAGCCTCCGGGCCAGGGCTTGGTGATTCTCTCACCACGCTGACCGCTGACCGCTGACCGGAGTGGACGGTTAAGAAGGTTGAGGTTAAAGTGAGCGAGGCCTCAGGCTACCTGCGCAGGCCCAGAGACTGCCACGGAGCTGGCCTCTGGGCTGCAGTAGGAGCAGCAGCGAGGCCTCTGGCTTCCGTGGGCGGACCTGTCCGTCAGGCCCAGGTAGACGGACAGCACGGCCGGGTACCCTCCCCCTTCACAGCTCTCCTCACGCTTCCCCCTTCCAGGCTTCTGGCCTTGAGGACGTGGGCGGCTTTTCCTTGCTAGACAGCTTTCTCCTGAGGCTTCTGAGAAGATGCTATCAAAGCATGTCAGAGCCTGGCCCTGAGCAAGTGCTGAGTGCGTGGAAGGGTCAGGCCCCAGGCCGTCGGGGACCGGGACTGCCAAGCAGAGCGGTGAGACCAGGGCCACCTGTCTTCATAGCTACCCAGTCCTCACCCCCAGGCCGACACAGTGCAGGAAACTGTTTGAAGTGAAAATATGAACGTTATTTAATAACTGATCTTCTGTAATAAACCATTTGAAAATATTTTACAAGGAATCACACACAACAATATTTTACAAAGTTTCTTGACTTTTTTTGTCGCTGTTGTTTTTCCGACTTGTCTGTACAAAATAGAACAACAACAAAAAAAAGGGCAGAGAGAAGGAAATGGCCCCCAGCCCCCAGCCCGAGGGGAGGGGGCAGCCGGGTCGGTGGGAGATGAGAAGGATCAGACCCGGCTGGGGGTTGGACAACTACCTGATGGGGACTGTTTTGTCTGTTTTTCTGTTTTTTTTTAAACTTAAAATATATATTTTTCTGTATATGTTGTTTCTTTTTAGTTTTTATGTTCTCCATTGAGCACCTGACTACACTACAGTTACACACACGCCCCACAGGACATGGCTGACCTCCAGGCCGGGCATATGTCAAGGACTTCCACCCTGACAGCAGCAGTGGGCATGGACCACGCGCACACACACATACACACACATACGCACACACTGAGAAAGCGACAAGCAACGTGACATTAATTAACGGAACCATTAATTAATGCATCCCCTCCCCCCTCCTCCCAGTCCATCTGAGCCCCGTGGCTACTTCCCCGTGCCCTCAGTCCCCCACCGGCCGGCCCCGGGAGGGGTGCCTTCAGGGGAAATGACCAGAATGAATGGTATGAAGTGATGTGCCTGGGCCCAGCCTCTGTGGGTGCACTGAGCATGTGTGTGTGCGCAGGTGTGTGTTCAGCAGAGAAGGGGCAGTCTGGCCTCCTGGGGGCAGGGAGAGTGTGTGTGTGTGTGTGTGTGTGCGTGTGTGTGAGGGAAGGAGACGGGGAATCGGCACAGGCCTTATACACTCAGCCAGGAGAGACCAAGTCACCCCTGCTAAGGCAAAGGGCAGCGTGGTGGGGGTCCCTCTGCGGAAGGGGCAGGCAGTAGCTGGTGGCCTTCTGGGGGGCTGACCCTAGTGAGAAATGGTTACAATGAGCACCTGGCAGGGTGAGGGGCACTTAGGGAACACTGGCGGCTAGGGGTGGGCCAGAGGGGTCTTCACCCTCTCTGCCCTAGCATTTGGCACTGTTTGACATTCAGCTTGAGAGACGGGAGGACCAGCTAGCTGCAGCTCAGGTTGGAGGTGGGCAGTGAGTACAAGATGGAGTGTGCACACCCTCCCACCAAGCCCCCGCACCCAGCCCCACCGGGTGGTGTGTGTGTGTGTGTGTGTGTGTCTGTCTGTCTTCCCAGGTATGTCAACTCTGAGTCCAGGTTCTGCTCTCAAGGCTCCCGGAGTGCAGGGGTTATGTCTGAACACATGTCGCTGTGACTTTCTTACTCCTGCGTGGCTGGGCGGAGGGGGACAGGAGCCGGCGGTGGGCTGCCCCAGGACCTCGCCCCTGCGATGCACAGGCCTCAAACTGCCCCTCTCACCTTCCTCCAGTACTCTACTCTCAGGGAGACCGGTTTTGGGCTGGCTAGAGGATTCCAGCCGAGGCAGGGTCCCCCTCCAGGCAGGGTGGGCCGCGGAGGCCTGGTTTGGCACCAGCACAGCGGCCTCTGCGTCCCAGCCCACCGGGGTGGACCAGGTGGGGATGAAGGCTCCGAGGACGCCTCCACAGCTCCATGTGGTGTAAGTGCCAAAGACCTGTACAGGCGCCCTCGCTGGGGACTCGCCCACCCCAAGGCTCAGACTTTCGGGCCTGGGGGGCGCAGGTTCTTCAGGGAGGGCGGGGAGCGTGGGGGGGGAGTGGGCGGGGAGAGGTGGTGAGGAGGAGGAGGAGGAGCAGGAGGCCGGGCGGACGCTCAGGGGCGCTGGGACCCATGGGCGTGGACTTGGGGCTGCGGCCTGGGCGGCAGGCCCAGGAGGAGCAGCAGCTGCAGCGAGACCAGGACGCCCAGCGACGGCGGGAAGGAGGCTCCGCGGCCACAGTCTGAGGTATCTTCCTGCGGGCACAGACGAGGGGATGGTCGGCCTGGGCGGGCGCAGGGCCGCGCAAGCCGGGCGGGACGCCCAGGCCGCCCGCTCCCCCTCACCGTCGCGTTGTAGTCGAAGCAGATGTGCGGGCCTCTCCGGTATCGCGGTCTCTGCACCAGCTCGCACTGCTCCGGGCCGTCCGCTGGGCATGGGTGGGGAGTCAAGGAGGCGGTGGCGGCGGGAGAGCGCGCGCGGGGCAGGAGGGCGGCGGGCGGCTGGGGGCGCGGGGGCGTGGGGGCAGGATACAGTGCGTCTCCTTCTGCAGCAGCCGGCCAGCCTCGCACTGGCTGCACAGCGGCTTCTCCGCCACCACGAAGAGAAGGTTGGTGTTGGTCAGCCTCTGCGCGTGGAACAGCCTGCGGGGAGAGCAGAAAGGCGGGGCCTCGAGGCTCGCCCCGCCCCGGCCCCGCCCCGGCCCCGCCCCGCCCCGCCCCCGCGGGCACCTGGAGCAGTTTCCGCAGTCAATGATGGCGTTGTAGGAGGCGTTCACCGAGCCGAAGTAGTACTGGGTCTGTTTCATGACGCAGCTGCTCTCGCGCGTCTCGGGACTCCCCTCGGCCTCCGCGGGGTCTGCGGGGCCCAGAGCGCCTCAGCCCAGCCCCCTGGACCCCCGCGGTCTCTCTCGGGCCTTCACTTGGCTCGGCCGTAGACCCCTCCCCCTAACACACAGGGAGCCGGGGACGCCTTGCTCAGACTGGGTACTGGGACTTGAGGAGGGACCTCCGAAGCCCTACCTACCCGCCTGGAACCAGCTGTGGTAGATGAGGCCATAGAGAAGCTGCTGGAACAAGGACCTGGCAGGCACGGGGCGCGGAGTGGGGGTGGTCAGCGGAGGCCGGAGAGCACCCTCTCCACCACCTCCCCGTCAGGACTCACCAGGCCGCAGCAGAGGTCCACCAGGCCAGGTTAAGGAAATCTGCAATGGTGGGCTGCAGGGGGAGAGGGCGTGGGCTGCCACATCTGTGCCCTGCCCTCCCTTGCCCCCAGCGTGAGTAGATGTCGCAGGTGGGCGAGGGTCATTTCTGGGCGAGTCTCCCAGCCCCCCCTCCACCCCAGGCATCTCTGGGGACTCACCACAAAGACACCTCGGGGTGCAGCACCCAAGTTGCCAGGAGGCTGGGGGGCACAGGCTGCCTGGTAGTCGTAGGACTCCTTGCGGGTATAGAAGGAGTTGTTGTAGAGCGCCAGCATCAGGTTGGCATCCACCTCACTGAAGAACCTGCCCACCTGAGGACGCCGGCAGGGAGACGCGGTCAGGCGCTGGCGGTGCCACAGCCCCAGATACCACAGCCCCTCCCCCGCCCCCTCACCTGGTCCCACTGATGGTTCTGGTTCGACAGTACCAGGAATCCGCCATCATCGATGAGGACGCAGAGCAGGTCCTGAGACGTGGGGAAGGGGGAGGTAGATGGAGAGGGGCTGGGACCCCCACCTTCCAGGCCCCGGCATTCCAGTGGTTCCCTGGGGGCTGGGGTACATCTCCCCCAAGTCCAGCTAAGGCAGGGCGGGGTGCTGAGACCACAGACCAAGGGGGTGGGCTCAGAGTGGCAGCTGCTACTAAGACATCTGGGAGTGGGGGAAGCTGGGGCTCAGGGCAGGGTCGGGGCACACGCACCTCGTTGTTAACCTCGCAGTCCATCTCACAGTGGCTGCTAGGGCCGCACTGCTGGTCAGAGAGTGAGGACTGTAAAGCGCCCGCCAGGTTCCCTCCCCCATCACCCTTCGTACACCTGGCTTCCCCGGCCACTGCGGCAGCCCCTGCCTCTGCATGGGGGGCTGGCTGGGTGTCCCTGGGACTCCAGGGAGGGCACTGACTCCTGGGCTCACTGCCCCTTCCCCGGCTGCGATACCTTATGAGGCTGATCCTGGTGGGTACGGTTGCTGGCGAGCACCTTGAACTTCTCAGCCCAAGCCTCTAGGTCCAGCTTGACGCCCACCACTTTGAAGGAGAGCGAGGGGCCATCAGGGCTACTCGCCTGGGCAGTGCTCTGCCCACTGCCTCTTTCCCCACCTCTGTCCCCCGCACTCACCTGCTGGCCTCAGGGTGCGCCCGCCCAGGCTGAGCTCCACTGCCGTGCTGACGAGGATGCCCACCGTGTCGTTCTCCAGCTCCAGCTGCCTCAACAGGGCTGGGGTGGGTGGGGTCTGGAGTTAGGTCCACCACTGACCACCACACGTGGGGCCCCACCCAGGGTGGACTCCAGCCTGAGCACCCAGCCCAGGGTTCGGCCCAGCCAGCAGCCACTTCCTTTCCCCAAGTCTTTCCCGGTGGCAGCCGGCACGTGGGCAGAGCCCAGCCCCGGCTGAGCCTCCAGGAGACCGAGGCTTCCCACCTGCGGCTGGGCCCCCAGGGTGGACACTCACCATCCTGGTGTGGGGGCTTGAAGACGTAACCATGGTTATCCAGGCTGCGGCGGTAGAAACTGGCATTGAAGGGCTCGGGGTTTTCTGTCCAGTCCTCAGCCGCTCTGGAGCACCCGAGAGAGGCAGAGGTCAGTGGGTGGGCGTGACCTGAGGGGCACTGTGGTCTCAGCCTCTGGGCAGCAAGTTAGGGGTGGGGTCCCGGGCAGGGGCAAGGTTGGTCACTTACTTATTGGGGAAGACACGGGTGATGCCGCCGTCTGTGGCGGCGAACACAGACAGAAGGCTGTACCTGGGGACAGCGAGGGGGGTGGGGACGCGGCGTCACAGGGTTGCCTGCCGAGGGGCAGGGCCGGGCTCTGGGCTCATCCCAGCCTCCTGCCCCCATGGGCTGGGTGGTGCCTACGTGTTGAGATCCTGGTCCCGCCACACGCGCTCCACCAGCTGCTGGGTGATGCCCGTATCCAAGATCAGGTTGTGCAGCAGGAAGTTGTTGCCTGGAACAGGGCAGCGGCTGGACGCGACGTCTTCCTGCAGCTCCTCGCCCACCCTCGCCCCTGCCCCAGGGCTCCACCAGAACCTTGCCCATGACCTGGCCCAGGTCCTGCCCTTGACCCGGGCCGGTGTACTTCCACACCTGCCCAGGCTCTGGGTTCCTCTGGGCTGCCCTGCCAGGCACTCACACTGCTTGGAGTCTGGAGTCACTTTCTCCATGAGCTCAATGAAGTTTTTCAGGAACTCGGTGTTGTTGTCAGACGCATTCAGGTCCTTGCAGTACTCTCTGGGGGTGGGGAGGGGCGAGAAGAGTGGGCTCGGGGCTGGACGGGGCAGCGGGGCCAGGCTTCCCATTAGGCCAGTCGGCCCACTGGCTGAGCCCAGGCCCAGGCCTCGGGGAAGGTGCGTGTCTTGGGCTGTGGCCTCTCACGTGCCTGGCAGGCTGCCCAGGGGGCGGGCAGGTGGAGCTGAGGCCAGAATGAGGGTCTGCTTCCTTCACCCTGGCAGGCTCTCTGCTGGGCACGGCTCTCCTGTGTGGCTGGACCCCGATGGAGCCCCTGGGGGCTGGCTCACCCACCTCTGTGCGCTACAGCACTCGGTGCACAGAAGGTGGGCGTGAGCGCCAGCACTGGCGTCTGTGGGCCAGCTGTGCACCCCCGGGCAGCTCACTCGAGCTCCCCGAGACCCATTCTTCCCAGCATATGCAGAGGGGTGGCGAGTCCGCGGCTGGCCCCTCTGCTCAGAGCACTCGTCCCCGAGGGGCGGGCAGGCCACTCCCTTCCCTCCCGAAGGCCCTCACCGGACTCAGGCTGTGGGGCCAGAGACCGTGGGGGCTGCGGGCATGTTGCCGCCTGTGTGGGGCTCTGCTCTCTGGAAGTCCTGGCATGCGGACCCTCCTGCCCAATCCCTCTTTCTTGGACGCCTCCCATTGGCCTGTGTGATAGCAGCTCTGTGGGAATTTAAAACATATGCCACTTCCCCAGGCTGTGCTGGGCCCTGAGCTTGGTGAGGGCCCGTGGGACTGAGTCTCCGCCTCCACTCACTCCTTGGCCCCAAGGCCTCTGTGTAGTGCACAGCCTACACCTTTACCTTTGTGCCTGGACGCTGCACCTGACACACCCTGCGTGGTGCTCAGGAGCCGCCAGACTTGCAGCCCCTCCCATGCACGCAGCACGCATGTTCACAGGTGTGGGATTCACTCACCCTACACACACTTATCGGGCTCTCACAAGGCAGAGACGCAGGCGACACAAACGAACCCGGTCCCTACCCTCAGGGTCACAGTGGCCATGCAGGCCTTCACCACGGTCCCACAGTCACTACTGCCCAGAGCCCACCACGCATTTACACTTGGACTCTTACAGCCACAATGACTCACAAATACAAACACGCATCTGCAGAGCCACAGAGAGATGTGTGGGTGCATGCACACATGTGCACACACACAGCAGTCGGGGCACCCAGAGCCCCCGTGAGGTGCCCGAGAACGCCTGGGGGTTAGCTGCACCCACCTGCCCTACTTTCCCCAGGCTCAGCCCCTGCGGGGCCCAAGGCGGAGGCGTACGTGTGAGGACCCACGTGTGCATGCGTGTGTGGCCCAGCCGTGGCCCAGGTGAGGGCCTACTCTGGGCCCCAGTCCCCTACTTGCTCAAACAACTTCGCAAAGCCCTCCCTCCCTCCCCACTCTCCCTCCCCCTTGTCTGAACCCCCACACTTAGACTCAGCACTGCCACCGGGGGCTCTGGCTGGCTCAGCCCCCAGACCCACACAAACACCGAGTGACACAGGACAAGGGAGGGGGAGGGGCGGGGGCAGGGGGATGGACAGGGCACCACACACCAGAGCAGCAGCTGCCCAGCAAGGGAGCGAGCCGGGCTCCTTCCTGGTTGCTTGGAGGGCAGGGACGGCGAGCAGAGTCCAGAGCCCTCCTGCCCCAGGCCCGGTGGGAGCTGGGGCTGTGGGGCCGCTGGCTGCAGCTGCCTGGTGCGGCTACATGGCCTGGGTATGCACACCGGCACGCATCCCGGGCTATGTACGGGGGCTGGGGCGACACTGCACAGGACACAGACACACACAGCTCCAGGCAGCAGTGCGGGAGGCGGGCTGGGGTGGTGGGGTGGGGGAGGACACCTCAGCAAGGCCACACGCAAGCTACCTGGGAGCAATGAAAACATGTCCTTCAGACTCAAAGCTGCTGGGGAGCAGGAACTCAAAATCTGCAACAGAAATGGGGGGTTATCCCGCGGGGGCTGGGGAGGCAGGAGGCCACGAGGCTCAGAGCCGATGGGGCTGGGGGGACGGGGTGGGGGTGGTTTGGAGGAGGAGGGGGAGACACCAGCAAAGAGGGGACCCGCCACTTCCACGTTCAGGTCTGAGCCAGAGTCAGGGCTGGCGGGGGGAGGGGTGGAGGCCTGTGGAGACTACAGCATGGCATCACGGGAGGAGGGCAGTTATAGCCAATATGTTGCCCGGGCCTGGTCCTCTGTCGGCAGTGAGTCCCTTGGCGTGGCTGTATATGCTTCCATACGGCTGTATAGCACATATACACGGACACACACACACACACATATATACACACACTGCTATATATGTGCATGGTCTGGGGGAGGCGCCAGTCTCGCTCTGATCACATCCATAATGGGAAAAAACCGCATGCGGAGCTTCCTTCGCCTCCGAAGAGACTTTGAGGAAGGGAATTGGCTTTCGGCTGCGGATTTCTCGCTCACTCTTTGCCGCAGCTGTTTGCGTTTTAGCAGGTCTCGCTTTGGTTCTATGTCAGGCATCAACATGGCCAAACCGAGGGGGGGGGGTGTCTCTTGCGGGCACAGACAGTCCAACCAGAGATGCAGGCAGCAGTGCATTGTGGGGGTTTGGTGAAGGGAGGCCCTCAGGGCGCAGGTGTGTTTCTACAGGGTAGGAAGGGAGTCTGGGAGCTGAAAGAGGCTGGGCTTCTGTGGATGGAGCCCGCACACCTGCCTTCCAGGACTGGGGGCATGAGGAGTAGGTGGCAAAGAAGAGCTGGGTCTCTCTACCCTCTGAGGACCTGTCCAGGCTTGGAGCAGCCAGGCAGGAATTCCAGGGGCTCCAGAGGGCAGGTGCTGGACCTGTGCTTCAGGCTTAAGAGCTGTGTGCATGTGTGAGAGCATGGATGCATGACTGTGCTTACATATGTGGGAGTGTGTGCATGTGCATGAGTGTGTTTACCCATGTGGGAGCATGTGATGTGCACAAGTGCATTTACATATGTGGGAGTGTGCGCATGTGCACAAGTGTGTTTATATGGGAGCATGTGCATGAGTGTGTTCACATAGGTGGGAGCGTGTGTGCATATGCACACATGTGTTTACCCATGTGAGAGCGTGTGCATGTGCTCAAGTGTGTTTATGCATGTAGGAGTGTGTATGTGGATTGTGTTTACCCTTGTGGGAGTGTGTGTATGTGCACAAGTGTGTTTACATATGTGGGGGTGTGTATGCATGTGGGAGCATGTGTACATGTGCAGGAGTGCAATTATGCATGTGGGAGCATGTGTTTGCATGACATGAGGCTAAAGATGTGGCCCCTGGAGCTCTGTGACTTCCCCCTGCCCAGCAGATCTGCACATGGGAGCAGTCCCTCCACTCCTGGCCTGACCCACTCAGGGCAGCCCACCATCCCGTCCTGTCCTGACTCAGATTCCCATCTCTTATTGCCCCCAGCGCTTTATATTCCAGGAAGTAGGATTGTTCCCTGTTCCCAAATACCCCCACAATGCACTGCGAGATCCTGGGCAGGTGGGACTTGGGGTGCTTGGAGGGGCCAGGCAGTCACTGGTTGGACTGTTCCTTTCTGATAGGACTGTGAGGCAGGTTTGGACACAAGCTGAGAGGGAGGATGGGGGGGGGAGAGGAGGAGAAACAAAAAGGAGGGAGAAGGGGCAGGGAGGGGCCTAGGCTGTGGTTGTCACTGTTACCAGGGCCCTGCATTTCTGGGGTCACTGGGTAGGATGTGGGGGTGAGGAAAAGACAACTCAAGCCAGTGGGCGTAGGGCACATCCCCTACCCCCACCTGGGCTGGGGGAGGCTGCGTCCCCAGGCAGCATAGGCCTCGGGGGCTTCCGGGGGAGCCCTTGCTTCCCGGCCGTGGGCACATCCCCTGGGGGCTCTCCACGCCTGTCTGCCCCCTGCGTTCCCAGGACGGCATGGTTCTCTCTGCACTGGCAGCATTCATGTGCTGTCCTCTGCATCCCCTTGCTGTCTACCAGGGCCTGGAGGGCCACCGCCCAGCTTTCTGGAAGGCTCTCTGGCTTGGGCACCTTGGAGTGTCAGGACCTTCTCCTTCATACCCAGCCTTACATCTTCCATACTCCTTTGCTGGCCTTGGGGCTGACAGATCCCATTCCAGCCCTGGCTAAGCCCACAGGCCCTGGGGCAGCCTGCCTTTCCCTGTGGGAACACCTTCCCCACACCTGCTGACCCTCTCTGTGGGAGCTGCCAGTACCCCGGGCACGGCCGAACCTGCGGGAAGCAGCCGGGGCTGACAGGGCACAGGGGCTTCAGCACCTAGGCCAGTGCCCAGGATGGCAGCGTCAGCCTTGTGCTTCCAGCCTGCCCCACGCCACCCCTCAGCCCCAGGTCAACATGTGAGGCTTCCGAGGCTTCCTGCCTCCCTTCCTGGAGGGCTGTGAGCTTTGGAGCTCTAGCCGAGATCAGACGAGGGGGCTGTTCAAGAGGAAGCCAGCCTCTTCCTCAAAGCCCCTGCCCTGCTGGGTGGGAGTGGGTGTGGAGGCATGGAGCCCTGAACCCACTGTTGAGTTGTCTTGAAGGGACAGGGGAGGTGGGGTGGGGCGAGGGTCTTTCTAGAGGGAGTGAGGAATACCAGGGTATGAGGAAGGGGCCAGGGCCCCCGGATCGCGCTGGAGAACACCCTGCAGGCGGGGCTGGGGAGGGCCGTCAGCCGGAACGGGTGTAGGGGTCAGAGGAAGGCAAGAACCAGAAGAGCCAGGGGGATGCTGGGAGGGGGGCCTGGCTGGTCCTGGGTGGGAGGGGGGCAAGCAGGGGTGTGAGGGCGGGGTGGGGGTGCGCTGGTGCTGGATATACTTGCCCTTCAGTTTGCTGATTGGCACTGGGACAGTCCACCAAGAGAGAAAGCGAGGAAAACAAAAACAACACAAACACAAAAACAAACGAAAAGGGGGAGGGGAAGGGGAGGGGCACAAACAATATTTTATTCAATGGCTGTTTGAATGAAAATATTGTGTCTCATCATCATACCGAAAGGAAACTTCTTGCAAAAAACGACATGAGAGAGAAAGAGAGAGCAAGAAAACTCAAAGGAGATGAGCCCCAGGCAGCCAGGCGGCGGGGATGGGGGGGCGCCTGGTGGGGCCACAGCCCCAGCCTCCCTCCCAGTGACCT